TAGGTCAGCCTTTATACCAAAGTTTTGTAGAAACTATCTAATAGCATGGGAGAAATATCATAAAGTAGAATTATTAGAGAGATTACTATTCTTTAAAGGGTCCGTGGCACTGATCAGCGGTTTGTTTGCTTTTGTTACTCGCGGCCCCTAGAGGCTTTTCTCTTTCTCCCTCACTCTTCTTATTTCTGCTTCTTTTTTCTTTGCCTTTCGTCTCGACTATTGGCCTTGTTTGCTGCAAATACCTCCGGCCATCTACATCTCTTGTTACGCCTTTGGCGAACCAAGTGTAAAGCACGTTTTCCCCCAAAACTAACCATCGCTCCTTTCTATATTCAACCCTATATTGTAATTTCTGTTTTTATTCAATAAATACAATTTTTTCCATGGAGAATAATCACGTGTGATTTATTTTGTAATACACCCGATCCTATTTTTAAATTTTATTAAAAATTATTTTAAATTTTATTTTTTATCTATTTTTTATCTCTGTCCATAATTGTTTTAAAATAATTTATTAGTTTTAATCATGAATAATTTTTAACAATCATGTCAATTAGTACTTTAAATTTTTAAATTAATGTTTTATATTACAATTCAACAAGCAAGAATAGATTAGATAAATAGATTCAAGGGATATCAAATTACACCAGCAAGCACTAGCGCGTTATCTACCTTACTTATCATCTACTTACACATTATCATGCATCACTACGAACACAACTATAAATACGATATATTCATGAATTATAAATTATTTTCTCTACAGGTGATGTAACGATGACATCCAAAACATAGCTAAGTTCTCTCCAAATTTGTCAAACCTTTTGCTGCATTGTCATTTCCCGAAGGCAGCCAGTGCCTAGTCTATACTGAAGATATAAGATTATATAATCGCTAGAAAAAGATTAGTATTGTCTGTCATAAATTTAAAGCACTATAAACGTATAGGCATATAACTCAGAAATCTAGGACCTTCTACAAGAAGGACGAGCACAATAGATCTATTCAGGTCGAGGTGCAGTAGGCCTTGTGACCGACTTTTTTATCCCTATCCCAAGAAGGACGAACAGCTCCTGATGGTTTTCGCATTTGCTACAAAGCTAAATTTATACAAGACCATTAAGTTGAGCTCAAATACCTGGCAGGATGGAGTAAAGGCTGCAAGAAACGCGAGATTCCTCTTAATTTACAAAAATCTCTCATGATGAAAAAGGAAGGTCACGGTCTGCAAATAAATCTCAAACTCTGTTGTTGACACTTTCTAAAAAAAATTAAAGTTGTACTAGATCCTTATATTGGGGTACGATAATGAAGAAGCCTCTTTTATTCTAGGAAACTGGAATCAACAAAACTTCTCATTATTTTGGGACAAAAACATGTAGTCATAGACTATGCATCATATACAACCATAACTTTCAATCCCAGAAATATGCAATTGAGATATGCATTCAATTCAAACTTATATCGTAGGTTTTTGTGTCGTGGCTAAAATGTTTTTTGTACTATGTCATTCAAATTAAAGTAATCGGGGTCCGCGAGCTCAATATCTAGCTTAAGATTTTTCAGGCACTGTTCAGAGAGCAGAAACCTTCTTAGACCTTCATAATAACATATAAAACATACTGCGCTTTTCTCCTTTTCGTAGCAGAACGTGTATAGACTCTAAAAATTCTCGACATGGATTGCAACTTTAACGGATGAAAAGATCACCTCAATGAAATATCCATTGCAGTTCGTGGTCCGATTGACCAATTAACATTTTTCAATTAATTAATATTTATGGAAGGTATTGGTTGAGATAAAAAGTCAGTGACACGAGCGGGATTCGAACCCACGACCTTCGGCTAGATACTAGATACTAGGCCGCTGCTCTACCACTTGAGCTATCGTGACTTCGATCCACTCGGACACCAACTTCCATCTCAACCTCACCTCTCGAATCCCGCTCGTGTCACTGACTTTTTTATCTCAACCAATACCTTCCATAAATATTAATTAATTGAAAAATGTTAATTGGTCAATCGGACCACGAACTGCAATGGATTTAATAATTAAACTGAAGTATTTCTTCACGAAAGCTCTCCGTGTCCATTTCATTTGTCGCCGAGAATCAAATAGATTACGACATTTGAAACTGGCGAAAAGGAGGGAAAATTCGAGAGGTGAGGTTGAGATGGGAAATTGATGTCCGAGTGGATCGAGGTCCCGATAACTCAAGTGGTAGAGCAGCGGCGTATCTAGCCGAAGGTCGTGGGTTCGAATCCCGCTCGTGTCACTGACTTTTTTATCTCAACCAATACCTCCATAAATATTAATTAACTGATAATGAAATATTATAATAAGTATTATAATTATGCATATATAATATTATATATTGCTCTACATTCTACCAGATATTTGAATAGTACTTGCAGGCCAACCTGAGGGAATTGTATAGAGAAGGATAGAACATCTGGTCACGGAAGGAACTATCTTTTAGTATACGATGGATCTGAAGGTACAGAAGCAGCATTTCGTCCCAGAATGAAGTATTAATAGCTCATGGTCATTATCCTAATAATTATCGAATAATGAATGTTTGTACTTGGGATCTCTAGTAACTTCAAAAAAAAATTAACCCTCTCAGGTGATGAAAAGTAGTATACTAACAAAAAAGCAGATCACAAAGCTATGGTTGAACTAATCCGGTCTATTTTGTGGTCAGAAATCTGGATCTTGCGCAAGAAAGACGAACCCGCTGAAGCGGCCTGCTTCGAGAGATAATGACGCTACAAAACTAAGGACGTACAATTCTCTCATCTTGTACGCCTCAGTAAGATGGACCCTCTTCAAAAATAAGAACTTGAAAGAAAGCTGTTGAATATCATCTACTACACTGTATGGCTAGTAGTGTTAATAGCATTCATATGGTTATAACAAAAGAACTTCCAATAATTTGGATCACATTTGTCAAATTGAGATGGGCAGGGTTGTCCAAGAAGCCAAAGGTATCCTGATTCGCAACTAGATGTAGGCTGATAATAAACAGAGATGGCTGGCGAAAATATTGTTGGGGTTTAGGTGAATGATGGTGACGATACTTTCTCAATGTCAAAGGATTTAATTGCGCGGAAACGAGCTTTAGCGTATTTAATGGACATTTTAACGTCTATATTCTTTGAAAGACGATTTCTAACAAAAACCAGTCTGGGTGACTAGGTTTCTGCACTGGCTTGTAATAGTTTTTTTCCCCTGTTGAAATCGAAGTCAGTCCCAATATGACGGGCGTGTATAAAAAGGGGGGATCTAGGGATGATATACTGTCTCAAGTCCGTAACACTCGGCTGAGTTTATTATACGGTTGACGTGATCGGGAGCCGCACACATTTTAAAGCAATATCCGCCTTGGAGTGCGGGGGCGGAGCGCTATAAAATCCTCCCCGTTTTGAATCTAATTGAAAGCTTTAGAGGGTGGCTATAATTGAACCGAGTGATATAAACACCGCTTGTCCTCTCCTATTACAACCCAAACCCTTCGCCCTGCTTTAAAACTGATGAATTATTCATAGAGATCCAAGTCTCTTTCTCTCTTTTCTGCTTCCACCGACTCGCGACTTGTCCGAGCCGGTACCAATTTTAGCCGGATTACTTGTACAAAAGAATAAATTGGTCTCTCACCAATTCTCTTTCATTGTTTGTCTGGTCGTTTATTTTTTCTCCGTTCTCATTCAGTTTGAACTTGTATTTTTTACAAAATGAACTCTTGCACCATAAACTTTTGGACTTCCTGTCATAAGTTTCAGTTTCAGTTGTTTTTCTTCTTTTTCTAGTTGTACATTTATGTGTATTTCTATGAACATTTCATTTCGTAAGGTCTTTATTATTTCAAAATTCCAATAAAAACTCATAATTTCACTACAAAGAAAACAAAAAAACAGTTTTAAAAAAATGATAAACAGGACCTTTATAATATCAATAATACACTATTCTTCAATTGCGGCTCTGCAGCTACAAACTTCCTTACATTATAAGACTACCCCCATTATTCCCAATTATATATAATCTAGGGTCTCATCACTATTCAGCTTATAACTACCCAGCCATTTTTTACGCAGATCTGACATCTATTACAGACTGCAAAAAAGGAAATAGATATACTATCGTAGATAGAGTTACGAACAGGGCATGGAGGTATGATAACCATCACCACTTTTGTAGCGAGTTCTACTCAACTTTAGCATATCGGCTCTGACTGTAATAATCATTATTTTTCCTTCGATTTTAATATGGTTATTGTTTCCTAATCTGAACTACTCATTTTACCCAAGTGTTTTTGTACGTATATTGTATATTGAGACAAAATGGTTTGTAAATTTTCAAATGCTATACCCCAAGTGTGCCTGTTTTCAAATAAAACATTATAGGCTGCTACATCTCTGAACCTTCCCGCCTTCTTCTGTAGTAGTATGTGTATAGTAGTTTAGTTGGTCAGGATATAAGCAGGAGGCAAGACACACACCCACCATTGAAGATGGTGAAAAACTAAACCACACCTGACAAACCAAACCTAACCTCAAATTGAACCCAACATGTTTATATTCATTTTTTTTAACCTCTGAGAAAAAATTAAAGATAGACCAGTTTGAGCAAAAATGACCCAACTAAAATGAACTAAAATAATCAATTCGATACGTATATCTCACAGAATTAGAGACCTTTTAATATTGAAGCTTGTGAGTATTTTGCTTTATCAGGTTATAAGTAGGGTGAGGCAATGCAAAAACCCACCAGTGAAAAGACTAAAAACAAAAACCACAACCACAACAAGGAATATAGGTCAAAATGGTCAGGGAAAAAACACATTGAAATTACAATTTGTCTATTTTGTAATTTTATGAACCTGTTTAATATAGATCGGTCATCCTGTTTTGTCTGTCAGCCTCATGGTTTATTTGGTGGTTTGTAAAGATTATGGAAATACCAAAACATATGACAGGCTAAGATGATCATAAACAACCAAGCACAGTTAAAGAACTATAATAGTCAACAACGATACATTTGTCTCAAAATATTCTTCAATGACCTTTTAATCTGGCAGCTTAAAAGTAGTTTGATTAATCAGGGTTATAAGCAGGGTGAGGCAAGAAAACAAACCCACCAAGTAAAATGGCTAAAAATCCAAACACAACCAAAATGGAATGGGATATAAAAATAGTGTTATAGGAGATTTTAATATTAGAGGTTCAGAAAACTATGAATAATGAAATAAACCTAAGGAAAAGGTATAGTAGCGATCAAGTTTATATTCTGTACGCAATATTCCTTAGTATGAACAATAAGTACATATATTATTATTATTACAAGCAATCCCAACCATCACTATTCTAAGTATGCTAAACTTCACTTTTGCATGTGAAGCTTTACGCTATTATCAGAATTATAATTAAAAATTCAACATATCATATAATTTACAACAACGCATATAATTATATATATAATTTTCTATATTTTTTCACACTAATATCCCTTTTTATTATCTACAACACACAACAGGAATGTAGTAGCTCAATGATTTTGAACATTTTCCCAATACATAATACTTTTAAATATATATATAATATTTTAAAATGAGAAATAAAATTATTATTTTGTGATTTTCGTCTTGAGTGAATGAAAAAAAAAAAGGATTAAAAATCATTTGAAATTTCCATAACTGTACAGAGGAAGTGATTATACAATAAAATTTACAAATATCAACAAAAACAATAACTATCGAGGAGGTGGATGACAGATATGCGTCCCAAAATTGGAATGATATAACTCCTGTTAAATAAAATTACATTTTAGGCCATTTTTAAGTGAATATGGGGATATAGTTGTCAATCTTGGCACGATGCTTTTGAGCTACGCATTCAGAAATCCAGACAATGTTACGACATTCTTGCTCCTTCAGTTTCAAATACGAGTAAAACACACCAAAGTGGAATTGTTGCATAAATGCGTATACATTCAAACGTACCTAAAAACAAAAACAATTTTATCATCTGCCATCTTGTTTCTTCGAAAACGCACAAAGGGACATCAAAAAATAATTACTTCTCTTTCAAAAAATAAATCTTCTAAGGTCCTCTCCCCTTCATGAGTTCCAGCAGAAGAAAACAGACTCTCGTATCCCTAAAAGATAAAAAGTATAACATGTCGATCAAAAAATATTACTAATCTGGTCAAGTTCCAATCGCCATGTATATCTGTACTCGAACCAATTCACCCGATTTTTCTCACCCTCATATCTCCGCTTCCTCTTAAGTTGGGCTTTTGAAATTTCAAACATAAATTAAGCTTAGGTCGCTTAGGACAGTGTAAAATTTACAATTAATTAAGGTTTTTAGTTGAGATGAAAAAAAGTCAATGGTACGAGTGGGATTCAAACCCACGATCTTCGGCTAGATACGCCGCTGCTCTACCACTTGAGCTATCATGACCTCGATCCACTCGGACATCAACTTACTATCTCAACCCCACCTTATGAGTTTTCCCTCCTTTTTGCCATTTTTCAATGGATCGAGGTCACGATAGCTCAAGTGGTAGAGCAGCGGCGTATCTAGCCGAAGATCGTGGGTTCGAATCCCACTCGGGCCATTGACTTTTTTTCATCTCAACTAAAAACCTTAATTAATTGTAATGTATTAATTGGTCAAGCGGACCACGAAATTAGTGAATTTAACAGTGTAAAATTTTTAGCAGATAATATTAAGCCTTTTCGAAATGGGAGAATTTCAAAATTTGCATTTTTGTTATTGACTGACATTGACATTTCTCCGATCATCAAAATTATAAAACTTCCAGACTAGTTGGAAAGATGAAATTCGGTAAAAAAGTAGGTTTTAGATAGCAAGCAAAGGAAAAATTCTGAAAATTGCAATTTTCTCAAAATTACTTTTTTTTTTGGGGGGGGGGGCATTCAGAAACTGGCCAAGTGTTAAGCAACAAAAAGAACAGGGCTCCTCATAAAAATAGGAGAGAGAGGTTGGTCATGAATAATATATCACTTTCGCAAGAGAGTCTGGAACTTTTATCTTTTCTTTTAAGTTCTCCCAGGTTATGGACCAAAAAAAAAGAAAGGACTTGGTCATAAAGAAGAGATCATTACATTGATAGGCTTATTTTTTTGGAAGGATTTGGAGGGATATTGGAGGGAAAATTTTGCCCTTTTTTCAGTTAGGTTTTTATTGGTATTATTACTTACAGCGTAATACTCGGCGACAGCCCTGACTTGCTCGTAGTCATCAGCCCTTGCTAAAGCAGCCAGGCCGTCTGGATGCAGTTTGCCGCAACGGGGATAAAGCTTGAATCTATCGTCTTTCGTCAGCTCAGTTCCAAATGAATTAATTGTTATAATGAAAGCACGTCGGTCGGCTTCAAACTAACGGCATTTCATAAAATTATTACTTTGAATTTTCTCTGTGATTCTTAAAACAAAACAAAAAAAATTGAATATAAACTCACTGCAAGGATTTCGCACATTGTGTCAGCTGTGGTTCCACCAAGCTTTTTACAGAATGTATAAAATGCCTCAAGGTAGGCTTTGTAAAGAGTGTTTCGGATAATTTCAATATTCATTTCATCCAAATCTTGCTCACTGATGCAATCCACAAAAAATGGCGCTGCAAGAAAAATTAAATTATAAATAATTGTTATTAATTAGCTTGTAGTATTAGTTAGTACCTAAAGGAGTGTCAACAAGAACAGCGTTATAAAGCTCAGCCGGAGTAGCTGCGACGTGGATGGCTTCCATCTGCTCAAAGCTGCCAAGAGGATGGCATTTCGGAATCAACTCAGATATGGGGCGCTGATGTAAAGTTCCAGTAATAAGCAGAATAATATTATCAATCATATAACTATACCTGTAAACACACACAAAAAAAATCAAATACATATGTAATTATGGCCACAAAATATTATTTCATTAATTCAAACAGGATAACATTGTTCCACAACTTATATGGTGCCTAAAGAAGGAACTTGTTTGTATTTTGTGCATTGTTGATCATTTTAGTCCACTTAAGGTGGCCATTCACGATTACTCCAAATGGAACCGCGGCAAGCCGTACAGCTCCATTTGGAGTGCCTTAAATTTGAGGGGGCATTCACGACCACTCTACAGCCAGTCGCTCCGAACGTCAACCAGTGAATTACCTTCTCAAAATGGATGACGATCTCTTGTGCTACGCTTTTGTTTATTTATACATTAAAAGCAAAAAATCTAAGAGGAAACGATGTAAGAAGTGGCTCCTGAACAGAAGCCGCAATACCTACATCAATTTGATGAAAGATCTTTCCCTTGAACCCGCTGATTGGAGGAACTATTTAAGGATGGATGAAACGCCTTATTTATTCATTATATTTAGTGTTCTATTGATCAAATTACTTCTTTCAATTAATTAAACTTTATGTAAGGTATTGATTGAAATGAAAAAGCTAGTGCCACAAGCGGGATCTGAATCCATGGCCTTCGGCTGAATACGCCGCTGCTCAACCACTTGAGCTATCGTGACTTCGATCCTCTCCGACACCAAAAAATGGCAAAAAGAGAGAAAATTCGAAAGGCTGTAGGTTGAGATGGGGAGTTGATGTCCAAGTGGATCGAACTATCGAAGTCACGATAGCTCAAGTGATTAGCGCAGCGGCGTATTTAGCCGAATTACCCTTGTTACCCCCTTGATTAGAAAACAAAAGACGGTCATGAGAGAAATCATCACTACATGAAAGGTTGGCAACCACATTACGATTTCTCGCTACAGGGATGAACTACAATGAACTTAAGTTCTCTACTACGATTTCTGATCATTGTTAGGGGTTATCAATACCGCGTCTCTCGTTGCATTTGTATCCTTTGTTTTGAAAACGTCGACCAATTGGTTGAGGATCGATTTCTTTTGTTTCTATCTTGGTATTATAATCATTGTCCACCACTTTCATAAACATGGTAAACTTTCATACAATTCAATCACTCAACAATAAAATCTCGATTGGATGTCATTACCAATAAAGAATAAACGTTTTTGACTTTTTGAGAATGTACGACAGAGATGTTTACTCAGTGACAGAAAGACGGAGACTGCGCCAAAAAAACGCGGGTTTTCCCATTCATGACCAAGCCAGCGCTCCAATATATTCCACTGTTCACACCAGGTTTTTCCATTCACGAACGCGCCATGCCGTCGTCGCGCTGTAGCACAGCCGGGCATGCCAGTTCAGTTTTGCCATTGACTTGAACGGCGACGCTCCGTTTGGACTGCTAGGAGCAATCGTGAATGGCCACCATAATACTTGTTGCTTTGGTCTGTCAGATGTACTATAGCTTGTCACATCTTGTTTATCTTTAGCTGGCGAACCCAACTGACAGTCCAAAATGATCAGACACGGTAAAAAAAATTGGAATTAGCCAAATGTGCTGAATAAGGAGCATCTACTAGATATGAAAATCTAGAACTTCCATTACACATTATCAAATCCACAAATTTGGTCATGAGACATTACAAACAATCCAACAAATTAAGATTCTGATATCTTGTCTTTATGAATTATTTTAGCCAGCCTATCTTATTAGCTGGAGTGGGCTGTCAAATTTCAGAATCAACTTTAATTGTTAAATGTGTCAAAAATTGATGTTAATACCAAATTTAGATACTTGGTTGTATCTGTTGGTGATGGACCTACAATATGGTCGTTTCTTATCATCCAGGTCTGCCGTATTCAACGGTTTAATGCATTTTGGTCAAACTGCAGACATGGCTATTGTGGATCCATGCCATTCCACATTTATAAAAGCATATGTAGCAGTAAGAGGCATTTTTTAAAATACTGTCGTCTTTTACCTCGGTTCCCATGAATTGTTCATTATTGTTTGTCATTCTATTCAAAAGTTTCAGCATTTTTGGTAGCAACAGAATCACATGCAGTTCCCGTTTTGTGGATGAAAACCAATTAAGGCTATGTAGAGAATGTTTAAAATAAATTTTAAAAAATAAAATAATTTAACATAGAAAAGAAAATCACTCATAACACAATGTACTCAATGCAGGAACACTTCTGACAGTCCAACCCAGTGAGGACAGGCAGACAAAAATAACTGGTAATGACAAAATTTCAGGTCACCTCTCCCTGCAATGGAGAATAAACCATGATATCTACACAAACAAAACTAGAAGCTAAAGGTATGAAATAAAAATAGAATCGGTCCCACATATTGTGAAGATACAACTGATAGGCAGGAAGTTTATAGAAATGAAATTCATTAGTAATTTGAGTAATCAAAACAATTGACATATTAGATGCATCCATGGCACAGAGAATAAGTATAAATACTGCTTAACTAACCCCCTTTTGGATAACAAATAAATAATAAAACTGTCCAATGTTGTAGGGTGAGTGATAGTGGGGACACTGGGACAAAACACCAAGGTCACTAAGCTTGGTCAAGCGGATATTTTTGTCTTAGTCCATTTCAATTAACAGTCTGCAAGCTTATTTTACAATTTTGTGTATTTGTGTTTGTGCGAGTCATCCATTAGGGGGTCCTAATTGTTGCCAAGCAAGATTAGAAAAGATCAAAGAAGAAAATAGAGAAGAAATGGAAAAAAAAAGAGAAAGTTAATGAGAAGGTTATGGTCTGGCAAAATGGAGATAATCTAAAAATACTAAGACATTACAGTGACAGGACTGAGTTGGGTCATAAGGGTGTGGTGACTGATTCAGAGATATTTGTTAAAATATGATTATCTCAAGTTTTACCATTTTAGCAAGTTTTTCAAGCCAAACTCCAAAAAATAGTGAAACCTGAGGCATTTGAAATTTCAACACCAGCACAAAAACAACATCAACAATTAAAATAAGATTCTTGACAAAAAAAATGCTCAAAATAAAATAAAAATTTCATAGAATGTATCTGACCAAATAAATCAATGACAACTTTTTAAAGCTGTATAACAAGAAAATTAAATAATAAATTAGGCTTAAAAATATTAGCAGTCCTGTTTGACATGTTTTATGGTACATAAAAAGGTATAAAAATGTATGTCTTCAATACCCAATACAACAAATTTTATTTTTAAACCATTTATGTTTTAGTGGTCAATTGACCAAGTTACTTCTTTCAATTAATTATTTCTTTTATGTAAGGTCTTGGTTGAGATAAACGAACCCACGACCTTCGGCTAAATGCAACACTGCTCTACCACTTGAGCTATCGTGACTTCGATCCTCTCGGACACCAACTCTCCAACTCAACCTATAACCAGAATTTTCTCTCTTTTTGCCATTTTCAAATGTCAGGTATCAGATTCTCAGTGACTTATGAAGTGAAAGAATTTGTAATAATATTTAATGTAATAGTTAATAAGAAAAGAAGTATCACTTCATTAACAGCTCGCCGTGGTAAAACACGACACAACTACACAGAAAACAAAGACTGAGCTGGTACGAATAATCTGATTAGTCTAAAAGTTCTAGCATTGTATAAATTCGTTTTTTCACATCCTACATGTATTTGTATCATTTCAACAAAGTTAAAAATCCCAGGCCCTGAAGATGATCTAAATAAAGATCAAAACGGCACGATAAAGAAAAATTTTTTTGATTTTTTTAAATCTGTGTCATACTAGACCACATCTCACGATCTCCAAATAATAATTATAATAATAAACTACACAGCTTTCAGATCCAATCCTCTTTCAAATGATTGGAAAACCCAAGGAGACACAGTTTAAGCCATGCGAGCTCAAGCAAGCTGTCGTTATAAAAATTGAAAAAGTTCTTTACGTGATAAAATCCAAAAATGTGGAGAGTGGTTCAACGGCATGGTTCCTGATGTGCTGAAATTCAATCACAAGTTTCTCCCTCAGCTTATCGTCAATGACTGACACAGTCAGCGGGCTAGGCTCGTTAGCAAGGAAATTACCATAGTCTGTACCCTGCAAATGAAGCTTCAAATCTAGAGGGAAAACAACAAATCAGATCGTTCCAATTTAAAACAACTTTAAATAAAAATACAATACCCTCCAGTGTCTCGCACTGAACCAGATTTAAATAATCCGAGTTCCTCAAAATACCGCACTTGAATCCTCTGCACAGCCCTTCCAGATAGCCGGCGTCGATGTTGAACATGAAGCCCATCATTTTGAAGAATTTAAATGGGATTTCACAGCAAAAATAAAGGAAAAGTCAAACGAGGAGAATATGGTAAACTCAAGGATACAAGAGAACCAATTCGGCAAAGGACTCGCCCACTAACAAAGGTCGATCATATGATTTCTATCACCAAACATCGACACACAAACATTAAATAATCGATTCATCTATTAAAACGACTATACATTTTATTTTTTTAAATATTTACTTATTTAAACGTTAATAATAATATTAAAACCTTACAGTACAGGCTGGAAGATTCATCTCAGCTAAAATCATAACAATTATATGCTCAGAAACAATCAAATTGTATTAATCGATTGTTTCATTAACTCGCCATCATCATTGCTCAGTAACTTTCACCAAAAATACAGTCCAACTGGCGCGACAGATTGTGTGTTATGTAATAACTTCATAATCTGAAAACATACCAATGTAAATATTTATTTAACTAAAGTTTAAATAATGTTTCCTTATTTTTCATATTAAAAAAAAATTATATTTTTTGGACAAACACGAAAGTTCACCTTGAAAATATTCGTAAGAGAATTAAATCTTTTAAAAGCCAAGTACAATTTGTCCCAATGAGCCAGTAAATGAACTAAAACGATAATCACAGTAAATTTCCAGGAACATAAAATGTTAAAATAAACCCATACATTAAGACAAAAAAGTACGGTTTGTTTATATTTTCATAATGTTAACTTACATTGCCTGGATTAGTTGACCGACCGATAAGACAACAGCATAAACATGATATCCTAACTTTTACCTTTATCAAAAATATGATAATTCTTAAAATGACAAACATTATTCAGCATATTGCAAAAACAATTTACAATTTTATAATTTGATTTTCGCACATAATATAGCTACTTAATGTAAATCATTTACCTTAGTGTTATATTTTTACTTATGATTAATTAAATATGTATTCAAATTAAATTGGCAAATCAATGGAAAGCTTGCCACCGAAATAGCCAGGTATGGCCATACTTACTGAAAATCTAAACCAAAAGAGTGATGCCCATAATAATAGACATATAATAATCTATTATACTACCTATGTCAGAAACAGCACTCAGCAGATATACATGCTATTCTTCCTGGTTATAAAGATGACTTAGATTTGCTTAGACCAGGGCATTTTCTAACAGGAGCTCCCTTATTCGCTCCACCTGAACCGGATTTCTCAGAGCACTTTCCTCTTTTTACTCGTTAAACTTAGAGATGGTCTTCTGAATATTTCAACACACTGTTGCAGCAGAATAAATGTCAGAAGGCCACCACATCTGTAAAGCTTGGGAAGTGTCTTCCTCAAAAATACTCATACCTCTCCTCTTTCTTAGGCCATAGGGAGAATACAGGAGATCTTTCCTGGTCCCGATTCATGTATTAGAGGGATCAAGGTATGTACTAATGCCGGTTCTTTTACAACTTGTACTTCCTCCTACTTATTAAGAACCTTATTTATTTTCTCTTTGGATATAGTTTTTTTTTTCTTTCTTTTTATTCTCAGAACCTATCTTTGTTAGTTTAATATTCTTTGTTTAATTTCTATAGGAGCATAAAGTTTCCTTAAAAATTTGGTGGGCGGAATGTTTACACCACTATGGAAAGTAGATTTTTTCATGTTTTCAGAGAACAATTTTTTTTAAAATCAGTTATTTGCAATTAAGAAATAACCCTGTATTGTATGTTGTTTAGTGACCAATAAATGGTTGAAATAGTTTTTTTGTTGTTTTTTTAATTGTACAAGAAAAATATAAATAATTACGTTAATATAAAGTTTAATCCAAGAAATTTGTACTAACATAATAGCACTACACTTTAAGTGAGCATAAATTTTTTGGATTAAACTTTATATATTTACATTTTTATTGTACAATAAAAAATCCAATTAACATGTTGTTTTTATTTAACTCTGTACCTTTGATATAAAATATTCACTTACTTAAAAGACATTTTAACTTGAAATTTAAATGATTGTTAATTATCTATATATTTAATTTTATGTAAATGTTCTTTGTATTAGAATTTTATGTATGTTACCTTATATTTAAGTTATTGTTTGATTGAACAATATATATACATTTTATTGCTGCTTTTACATTTTATTTAATTTGTATCTCATTATTGTAATAGTATTACATGTTCTATTTATATTGTAAAAGGACACCATTATGATTAATACAAATTCTTGGGCGTATTCTTGATTGTTTCCAGAATACAACAGAGGAGAGCAGAAGGCAAGAAAAAAATTGAAAAAACATGAAGACAGTGGAAGAGAAAGTGAAGGAGAGAAAGAGAGGGGAGGGGAAAATGAAAAAAGAAAGAGAGAAAAATAAATAAGAGAGCCTACGAGAGAATGAGAAGAAAAGAGAGAGTGAGGAGAAGAAAAAAGAGAGAGATAAGGAGGAAAACAGAAATCAAGGGTATAGGGACAAGAAACAAATAAAGAAAGTGAAAAAGAGAGAATATAGAACAATAAACAGCAAAGAGAAGAAGAAATAGAAATGTGGAATGAAGAAAAAGTGAATGGAAGGAAGGAGATCAGAAAAAAGGAAGAGATAAAGAAAGAAAAAGAGGAAAAAGATACTGAGAAGGAAAAGAGTGAGATATTGAGAAGGGGGTGGGAAAGAGAGAGAGAAAGACAGATGAGAGGGAAAAGGAGACCATAAGAGAGAAGGACAGGACTAAGAGTAAGCTATAGAAAGGGAATGAAATAAATAGGAAAAAAGAGATAGAATGGAGAGATGACACAAAGAATGGTAGAGACGAGGCAAAGTAATGAGACAGGGCAATATAAAATGAACTAAAAATAGAACGAATGAGAGAAAATTAAGGAAAGAGAGAGGGAGAAAGATGAAGTAATGATACAGGGCAGTAGAAAGAGCTGAAGAAAGTTATAGAAAAAGAAAGAAGAAATGAGAGCGATAGAGGAAAATGGAATGAGAGAAAAATGATAGAGAAAAAGAGTACAAAAGAAAGATATAATAAAAGAAAAAGGGAGTAATATGAAGAAGAGACGAAATGAGAGAGGTTAAATATAAAGAATTAATAAAGAGAGAATGATGTAAAAAGGGAAAAGGAATGAGAAAGAAAAAAAATTAAAAAAGAGAACGTAGAAATGAGATCACACAGATTAATGGAGAAAAGGTGAATGAATGAAACATTTCTGAAATTCTTAAAAATATTGGACAATAAGGGAATTCAATAAATTAAAAGTCAATAAATAAAAATAAGGGATTTAAATGATTTCGCTAGTTGGGGGGGGGGGAGCGCACGTTGGTTTTGGTACATGTGCCATCCACCGGCCTTATGGTTCTCCCTCTTCTCCCGGGCCGGTGTTGCTTCATAAAAATAAGTCCCACCGCTCACTGGCTTTCAATTCAAGTCCTGCTTTACTCCGTGCTTTGTTCATCTTTTTCCGACTTAATTTAACACCGAGCTTAAACGAAGATGCCTGCTTCTCCGGATTACAAAGTCGGTAAGCTATGAATGTCAATGAGGTTTTGCATGGTTTTAACCTTTTCTCAGAAAGAAATTTTCACCGATAAAATATTTAAAGATAAAACCTTTTTTTTAAACAGTTTGTCTCGATTTTTCGTAGAAATAAGGCTAAATTCTTATTCCTGCTTTGTTTAGAGAACACCTTTATGTACATTGTTCAAATATAGCCTTTTATATTGTTACTCATCTTATACTTGTCTTGGTATATAGTTGATTTTTATTTTTGTAACAGCTGACATATCTTTGGCCGAATTTGGTCGAAAGGAGTTGACATTGGCTGAGAATGAAATGCCCGGTCTTATGTCGCTCCGTAAAAAGTATGGGCCTTCGAAACCTTTGAAAGGAGTCAACCTCGCTGGCTGCTTGCACATGACGATCCAGACTGGTGTCTTAATCGAAACTCTCATCGAGCTGGGCGCCGAGGTATGTTCTATATCATTTCAGTTCAAGTTGGGTTTTAAGTATGTTCATTTTGGGCAGAAAGCCTTAATTCCCAAATGATCATCCCATGTGTAATTGTCGAAATGAAAATTGGAAAACAAAAAATAAGCGCGGCAGATTTGTTGAACTTGGTTGTTTGGGATGATTGTAAGAGGGGGGAATTCCGATTGGCAATTTGTCCCAATAGAAGAGATGTAGCAATGCCCAATTATCTTGAAGTTTGTGTAAGTATCTTGGTACCACAATTCTTCCGATCAATGGCATATAGTAGTAGGCAAGTAGACTGGCAACTCTGAATTTTGAACACCAGACAGCCAATTATTCAGTTCACTTAGTAGATCCTTCAAGATTAACGCAAGCTCAGACTATGAGTCTACATGGCATTCCATCAAAAGACAGATTCGTACTAGTGTGGTAAAAACATTCATGACTGCCTGGCAGAATGGCTCAGGAAATCCATTTATGGCTTTCCTTGAGTCTGTAAAAGATTGGTACAATCCAAATACTTAACTGATAACTATTGTTACTTATTTTTTATATTGCAATACATTATCGATATTGAAGAAATTGTTGATTAATGAAATGAGCCAACATTTTTCAGCATAATCATGAGAGGGAGTGTATACTAAAGTTTCTCTCTAGTCATTAGTTCACTAGTTTTCGTGGTCCGCTTGACCAATTAATTTCAATTAATTAAGTTTGTAGTTGAGATAAAAAGTCAATGTCACGAACGGGATTTGAACCTACGACCTTCGGCTAGATACACAGCTACCTCAAGTGGTAGAGCAGCTGCTTCCCATTCGTGACATTGACTTTTTATCTCAACTACAAACCTTAATTAATATTTCAATCATTAGTATAAGCTACCACTTTTACTTTGACATTTTATTCACCTTTACATAGTAACATCATTATTTTTACTATTTTCCGTTTAAACTAGAGAAATATAATTTACAGTAATATTACTGAAGGCTGAGATCCATAGAAAAATAGTAGTGATATCAATTTTCAAAAATGGGGGCTTATACTAAAGAACACCCTCAACTGATTTTACTAGTGCTAATTATTTGAATAACAATACATTCGTTTATTTTTATCTTGTGTCATGTAGGTCAGGTGGTCGAGTTGTAATATTTTTAGCACCCAGGACCATGCAGCGGCAGCCATTGCGAAGCGCGGGATCCCAGTTTTTGCTTGGAAAGGTGAGACCGACGAGGAATACATCTGGTGTATTGAAAAGACTCTGAACGGTTTCCCAAATGGCAAGGTATTTAACACTTAGATATAAACAAAGTTGTATGTTACAATGGGTTTTAAACTTATTAATTCTAGCCATTAAATATGATACTGGACGATGGTGGGGACCTAACAAATCTTGTTCATACCAAATTCCCCGAGTATTTGCCAGGGATCAAGGGGCTTTCAGAAGAGACGACAACAGGTGTTCATAACCTTTACAGAATGATGAAGGAAGGGAAGTTGAAAGTTCCCGCGATAAACGTCAACGATTCCGTCACCAAAGTATATCAGAATAATAACAATTCTCTTAACGTTTTATATATCTTTTTCCTTGTTTTGTTTTAACAGAGCAAATTCGACAATTTGTACGGCTGCAGGGAGTCACTTATAGATGGAATTAAACGTGCGACTGATGTCATGCTAGCGGGAAAAGTGTGTGTAGTTGCCGGTTATGGTGACGTGGGCAAAGGCTGTGCTCAGTCTCTCAGGTCATTTGGGGGAAGAGTTATCGTCACAGAAATTGATCCTATCAATGCACTTCAAGCCGCAATGGAAGGCTTTGAGGTAGTTTGGCAATTACAATACAGAAGAAACCCATTTATCCAGACCCATTGACGTTTGTTAAAATATTTTTTATACATTTTCATAATTCTGTGTATATTATTTTTTAAAATTCATAATTCTACTATGGGACCTTTAATTTGTCGTTCGAAATTCATAAAGACCCCCCAAATTGCCCTTCCTCTAGTCACATGATTGAAGAGGCCGGAGAGGCCGACAGTCATGTTTTTGTTATAAAAAATAAATTAAAATAAAAAAATAATTTAAAAAAGTGTATCCTATTTTAAAAGACTAGAAATTGCTGTGTTGTGCTGTTTGTATGTTCCATAGAAAAGGTTTTTTTTTTTTATTATGTTATTATTAGGTATTTTTTTATGCATGCATTTTTTGCGAAACCCATGTCTTGTCTTAAACAAAAGTCAATAAAAGACTATTACTTTAAATTTAATACATTTGATATATGAATAAAAGTGTACAATTGTGTGTGTTAAGTCTGTTTTTATGGCACGATCCTAATAAAATTACAAATTTTTGGATTATCTGCACTTTCGATCATCTGAACAAGTCCCTGGTCCCTTCAAGTCTGGATAAACGGATTTCTACTGTCCTTTAATTTACTGTATCGATATATATATTAAGGACTCTGTATATTAGGTGACAACGATGGAAGATGCTTGCAAACGAGGCCAAGTTTTTGTAACCGCTACGGGTTGCAAGGACGTTATTACAGGCAAGCATTTCCCAGAGATGAAAGATGATTCTATTGTCTGTAATATAGGACATTTTGACTGTGAGATTCAAGTCACTTGGTTGGAAAAAAATTCAGTTGAAAAAATTAACATCAAACCTCAGGTGAATTTAAGTTTTAATACCTCTAACTTAACTAATATTTTCAAAAAAATACTCGCAAAGTGTTAATGGTTTTTATTAAGTTTTTCGTGACGAAGTAAAAACAGAAAAACTGCTTTTTAACCAGCATTTTTTGACCCCTCGAATACAGAAAATTCTTTTTTCCTGATAATTCTCAAGTAATTTACATATTACCAAAAATTTATTTCTTACAGGTTGATAGGTATACATTATCAAATGGTCGCCATATTATACTTTTAGCCGAGGGACGTCTTGTAAATTTGGGCTGTGCTACAGGACACCCGTCTTTCGTTATGAGTAATTCATTCACAAACCAAGTCCTTGCCCAGATTGAACTCTGGACTAGAAACGATCAATACCCAGTCGGTGTTTATACACTGCCAAAAAAGGTAAGATTTGTGTCACTATTCACTCTCCTTGCATGTAGAGGCCTGGAAATAAATAATTACTGTAATGATTTATTATAGCTTGATGAAGAAGTTGCCGCTTTGCATTTGGAACATCTCGGTGTGAAACTAACTCAACTGAACAAGGAACAAGCTGAATATTTGGGAGTGCACAACCAGGGCCCTTTCAAACCGGAGTACTACCGCTACTAACGACTTTGTAAGATAAATTTGTTTGACTTAAGAGAATAAAATGCATTTTTATATCAAATCTACATTGGTTTTACTATCTTTTGTACCCATATACATACCCAAATTGAAGGAGTGAAATATTTATTCACATTAAAGAATTCAAAATTTGAGATTGTCAACATTTTACAAATATGGCCAGAGGGAGTTAGTTATATTCTCTCTTGCCTTGATGAAAAAAAAGAAAAAGAAAAACCTGAATTTTATTAAAATTTACCCAAGTATTAGTTAGTTTAAATTTTTCTAAAAATCCTGGTGTGTATGCTTAGTTTCAGACGAAGTGGTTCAGTTGATTCAACTGCATTGATTGGTTGACTTTCAGCTAGTTAGATTATACTTGACTGGTTTCACACCTAGAAGGAATCTGAAATACTTCTTTTGCTTACTCTTCTGCAAGAAAGATACCAATATAAGAAAATTGTCAGTTCAGCCTTTGTTACAAAATCAGGAAACAGGCTCATACTCATACTCGCTATGCTCTCCATACTTCATGACCCATATTGACTAATTACTACTAATATGAATTTATTAAATGGACTATTCCACATTAACTTACAATGGCAATTTTATGGTGAATTCAGTTGACTCGATTAGGCTACGGTGCGAAGGACTAATGCGAGTTTTGTCTTTTGAGTTGAATCAACTGTTACCAATTCCCCCTCAGACCGGTGACAATCCATCAAGTCTCCAGGTACCTGGGTCTGAATGGAGATTTCTCCATAGCTTTTCTTTTCTCAAAAAAATAAAACTGGGCGCCATGCTGTTTTTCTCTTTTTGGGAAACAGATCCCTTGGGTGAAATAATATTTTTTTTTAAAGTTCTCTCTTCAGAAAATGATTTAAAAAAAGTCCAAACCTTGTCCTTTCCTCCCATCACTGCTTGGTCTCCTTTTACGCATGTGAACTCTGGTAAGAAGAAAATTCCCAGATAAAAAACCTCTTTTTCTCATTTTTTATCTGACTTGTCCACACCGAGCAGTTCAAGCCTAAGTCTCACTGGTCGGGCCCCACTGAGTCTCCTTTGGCTTATAAAGGCTGCCTGTGCTTCTTCAGCCTCTTGCTGTGGGCAACCTCGTCTCCTGCCGAAATGGTTACCCCAGTGAAAAAAAAAAATCTTATTTTCCATTTTTAACACGACCAATGGCGAATGTGAGCGGTAATTGTGCCTACTGGCCTGGCTGATAAGTTGAATGCATGTGAAGGAAGTTGGGCAGTTCTCAATCAATTGCTATATTACCCTGAAGATTGACGTATGACTTCTGGGCATTCTATCATGTTCAAAACATGTTTGTTTATTTGGTGCCTACCATTGCTTTCATCAGTTTTGATATCACTAATAAAAACCTAATTAATGGAATGTATAAGAACGAAAAGTTGAAAGCCGTATGCAGGCCTGTCAGTAAAAACACTAGGAGGATCAGACCAAACTGCAGGTTTAGCATCTCACATGTTTTAATATATTAATTTAAACAAACTTAGTATTTGAGTCGGAACTTTTCCATACCGTAAGACTTGTTAGGTCTATTGTTATGATGATAAGAGAATACTATGAACTATACTATATATAGGGATTTTGTATTCCTCAAGAATTGCAGCTTTCTAGCTTGTGCTTTTTCTTAGTTCAGTTCAATTGACTTGATCCTTTGTTTAAGAAGTAGTAGGTCATTGACTGCCATTCTTGGCACACTAAGTTATGTCTTTATTGAACAGTTACTTCACATTCAAAAATGAATGGCAACAGGTAGCTGTTTCTTCTCCTCATTGCATAACCTCTACAAATAGGTTCATCATTAAATATACCCCATTATGTGTAGGTCTTTTCTCAGATACCGGTGACCTGTATATAGGCTCTTCACTCTCCTTAGTTTTTGCCCTGTATAACTGTAGCAATATGTTTGTGAGTTTTGGTGAGGGTTCTTTAATCATGAGATGTTTTTTGGGGACCCATTCTGAGATCTTGTCTCAAGTATAGGTTCTGGGCCTATATAATAAAGTAAAGTAATTCCTATCAAACAAAAGGGCTTAATGTCCAACTATCCATTAGGTGTCGCAGATGAGGAGCCAAATCAATTTACAATATATTTTTCATATCAAAACCTATTAAAAAACCATGGGCTCTACCAGGATTCAAACCCGGAATTGCTAATGTGGCGAGTACGTGATGGATGCCTTATCACTTGGCCATCACGGTCCCCCTATATAATATAGGGTAGACAAAGGCAACCTGTGTAGGTCTAGAGACACACATAACTGTGTAACACCTTTTGCATTAACAAGGTGTATATTATGTTGTGGTATTTTGAGGAGGGTGATGAGCCCATAATTTGGCCATTTCAGATCATTACTTCATACATTTCAAAACAGTGAGGATAGACAGGCCAAAATAATAAAAATGATCAACTACCGGATCATCACCCTGAAAGGATTAAAATTTTAAGTTGTGATCCTGAACCCCTTTTCCAAAATTTTGTTTGTTTTATACTTAGTTTCTAGAATTACACAACTCCTCTTAGGTATCGAGATAATAGATCTAATTGACCCAGATTTATTTAGGCAGAAGAAATGCCAAACATAATTACTGATGTTTATTTAAGTATTTTTAATTTTATTTATCCTTTGCCTTACCAAATCCTATTTTTTTTGTTTTTTTATGAACAGCAAACTTCCCTGCTTAAGTTAGTCTAGGGATTCATTGTCTACATTGTTTATTTATGGTGTTCCTTTGCTATAAACAAAATTAGGCCCAAAATAAGAAAACTTGACACCAAAGGAAAGTGATAATATTTCCCAGAACATATTTGAGGATTTTTATTACATATAAACCTGGACTCTAGTTATAACTACCCAAAAACTTATACGAAATTCATTTAATAAAGCTGCATGTACATATATATATATATTTTTTTTATTTTTTTGTCTTAGCTTAAAATACTTTCAAATTGTCCTTTCCAAACAAAAGCGCCTTCCCTTCTAATCCTAAATCCTATTGTTACTCGTTCTTTTATTGTCAGACAGAAAAAGTCAAAAGTTCAAAGTCTTTGAGATGGTATTCCCTTCTGGTTGACCCCTTTGTTAAAAAAAGGTGGGTTCAAATGCACATTGTTGAATATGATTACTTTTACTTTTTTTTTTCTCGGCCTTTCTAATAAGGTTTATACAATTTTTACTATGCCTTTCTAATAAAGTTTATACAATTATCATAGCCAAGCAAAATTGTATTCTATTATTAAAATATTACATACATTGAGGAAGTAATTTAATAAGGTGCATTAAAACCAGGCATTCATCTATAAAATTAAAAAATAAATATTAACCTGAGATAGTTGCACATGTGTGGTATAGGATAAAAAAAAAATAAACACAATTGTAAACATGGCAATTTCATTTTAAACTATTACATACATAAATTTCATGGCTGTCACCTAGTGTTGAACACATTATTGACTGGAAAGACATGGTTTTCTGATGGAGCAAAGGGATTTCAGCCATCCCAACTCTAAATAAGATTATTATCATGAAGTAATATGAAAACTTATGAAACTTCGACAAAACTAGAAAATTCTACTGCAATTACAATAAATATATTTAGTTATCCTATTGAATTTAATGTACATGATTTAAATTAATTGAATGATTCTTCAAACATGGAGGTTTTTGTTTTAAAAAAAAATTTTTTTTTAAATAAATATCACAATTGAATTTTTAAAACTTTTCAATACCTCCCATCTGTATTAAAAATATATAAAATAAAGTACAAATGGAGGATTTTCGTTGTAACGTTTGTTACGAAACTGAAAATATTGACCAATGACATATGGTTGATCAAAACTATCCGTTTGAATCACACTCAAGAAGGCAAGACGTGGGCCTACACAAATAACACATTGCAGCAAAAGATGGACAGTGCAGGTCTGGAATGTGTAGACGATCAAGTAGGCTAGAACCAACTTTCCTACTTTTAATAGTTGACAAACCCTCAGATGTGATCTTTGCCGGGGGGAAAAAAGTTATGAACAATTGGTTTATAATAAAACTTATTTAAACAAGTTAATAGAATAGTCACCATTTTTGTTTTTGGATTTCTCTGAGTTTACGCTTTAAAAATTTAATTTCCAGGTCCTTCTCCATGTTTTCCCTTCTAAGCTTATTTATAGTCTCCTGGTCTTTTATCTTGCTGAGGGTGTTTTTTGTGTTCGAGTCCTCCATCTCTTTTAGCAGTTCTGAGGCTGTAGGTCTTTTCTCAAGGCTGGCCACTGTCCTGCTAATGATTTTTGCCTGTAAAGTAATTAATAATTCATCTTTTGTACAAATTATTTATACAGTTGATGAATTACATAGTTGCATAGTTTATTTTATAGTAGGCGCATGCTTTAGGCTTAGTACACATGGGGCGTTGAATTGTGCAATCAATCATGTGTAAATAAACGCTTGTGGCGAACACCACAAGAGCAATTTTACAATGGAAGTCGTTTGTCTTTTTCTGGCAATTTTACAATGTCCATCGCCGCTATAAACTAAGAAGACAGTGACAAAAGAAGTATTGGGCACATCTTATTTTAAGAGATAGAATCACAAAATTTGTTCATTACTTTCTACCCAAAATTAAGTAACTATGAACTAAAAATTTTCAATTATTTTAGTATGTCAATTAACTCTTGACGATTTTTTGCACTTAATTAAGGACGATATTTCTTCAAGACCTCACTGTGTGAAGGATTCCATCCCGTTATAAGAAAAACTCGTCTAACATTGATAATGTCAACATTGCAGAACAAGAGTGCCTCTACTTTTAAAAATGTAATGGAGGACAAGTTAAAAGTTCTGGGTATTAGACAAGTTTAAAAAAGCTCCAGAGATTCAGATTCATGCTGTGATGCTAATTGCTCGATGGTAAAACTACCTCTAAATCACATGAATGTGAAGAACGTGGTAGTTGATGAGATAGTCATTTGTGATGGTTGTGATATACAGGGTGAATTGCTACTCGTGCTACAAACTTCTCCAGTAGATTCTTCACCCTAAAATGAACAAAAAAGTTCATATTGTCCATGGTCCGATTCTCAACCATTTCAGAGTAATTTCGCTTTTTATCGATTTTGAAAGATATCACGTCCTGGCGTCGGAAAATCGTGATATCTTTTAATCTAAACATTTCTCTGAAAATCTAATAGCACCGTTGAAATTCCCGTTAATTTTTCAATAAGAAGATGACGGTGGCAAAATGTTTGGGCTAATTTTTTGTGTTTTATTTCAGCCAGAACTACAAAAAGAGTGGAAAATTGTGTAAATCGGAAAGTGTATAAAGTAATCCAGAGTTTCTAATTTTAGTCTCAGAAGGCAGCAAATTTGAGGAAAACTACCTGATTTAATAACGCTTCCAACGCACTCGTCATTTTCTTATTTAGTGGTTGTGAGACCAAGATGTTGATGACAAAAAGAGAAAAAATGGTGGTTCAAGGATTGCTAATGTTTGAGAGTGACTTGCTACTCGTGCTACAAACTTCACCAGTAGATTCTTGACCCTAAAATGAACAAAAAAGTTCATATTGACCATGGTCCGATTCTCAACCATTTCAGAGTAATTTCGCTTTTTATCGATTTTGAAAGATATCACGTCCTGGCGTCGGAAAATCGTGATATCTTTTAATCTAAACATTTCTCTTAAAATCTATAAGCACCGTTGAAATCCCCGTTAATTTTTCAATAAGAAGATGAAGGTGGCAAAACGTTTGGGTCTTTCTTCCTTGACCTTCTAGCTGTTTGTAAACTTCTTAAGCATTACATACTAAATGGGCATTAAATTAAATTAAAAAATTTCAATGGAATTATGATTTTGATTCTCTCTAAAAATTAACGGGGATTTCAACGGTGCTTATAGATTTTAAGAGAAATGTTTAGATTAAAAGATATCACGATTTTCCGACGCCAGGACGTGATATCTTTCAAAATCGATAAAAAGCGAAATTACTCTGAAATGGTTGAGAATCGGACCATGGACAATATGAACTTTTTTGTTCATTTTAGGGTGAAGAATCTACTGGAGAAGTTTGTAGCACGAGTAGCAATTCACCCTGTATATGAGCTGTAATAAATATAAATCACTACATTCCACAATGCAAACGATTTTTTTTTTTTTTTAAATTTGTCAATCAGGAGATCGGTGTCAACAAGGTCATTTCCGTCATGATGATCGAAAAAAAATCCTCTGGTAAATCACGTGTTAATCTGAACAGGCTGATTAGTTACTTTGATCTCAACTCAGGCGGTGAAATGAGTGTAGTGAGTGGAATCTTGAATCATACGCGTGTTGGGCTTAATTGCGCATTACCAAGTGTATGTTCTACTTTAAACTTCAGTATTTCACTATCATTAGAAAATGCTTCATGTGCACTAGATCTTAGTATTAATTTGGAAATTATTCGTAACTTGTCTTTCTTACATGTTTGTTTCGCTGTCAGACAAATTTTGTAATATTTTGTGTAGATAGTTTTGCAATTTAAAACTTACCCAGTTAGGAAATTTAGCAGTGAGATCTGTAGGGATGTTTCCAGACTTTAGCTTCTTTACCATTTCGCTTCGTTCCATCGACGTTTTAAACGGTAGAATTAGTTCAAACAAAACAATGCCCAAGCTGTAAATATCACTCTATACAAAATAAAAATAATACAATTGTTACAAAAGAATTATTAAAAAGACCTAACATCAAAAATAATAGGTCATTTATCTATAAAACCCCTCATTTATGAACTCTTCTCAAATGAAGTACCCATTTCAGAGTTTAGGGTACCCTTAAGTGCCATAATAGTGTTTTTAAAAACTAATAATTGTAATATTGCCTGATAATTTAATTATTCTTTATTTACAAAATGAAGGGTTCTGGTGATGACCTTTAAGTTTTTATAATTTTTTAGTGGCTTTCCAGAGCACTCCAGTTGAGAGACTGACACGCAAACCACTCGGCTACCATGGTCCCCACCTTTAATTTTCAAAATATGAGTGGTTATAATAAATTTAATTCAAACTTATATAGTTCAATAAGTAGATAATGATAATGACCATGGTGAGAAAGCTCTTCCTAAAGTGAGTAATAGTGGCATTTTCTCTTCAGCCTACATAGGTTGCATTTTGGGCCAGTTGGCGGTGAGGTATGTCATAGAGAGATGAAGGGTTGTGTCTTTTTGATTGTGTCAGCAACTGTGGGGATATTGAAACTGTAGAGCAGTACCGAGTTGCACAGAAAACATAGTGCTCTTGTCATTGAGGGCTTTAGTTTCAATTTTTTAAATATCAACATTGACACCAGGTCTGGGACATTTTTCATAATTTGTTTTTGTTGATGTATTGCTTGGTTTGTTGCCCCAGGGACCTACCACTTGCAACTGAGATAAATTGAGTTTTCCCTAGTGGGTGTTTTCTCTTCTTTCACGGCTAATGTTAATTCTGCTGAAGCATGATTGTAGGGCATTTATAACCAGGGTGCTTCTTGGCTCTTTTCCACTTCTTGAAAATTGATTTTAGTTTATTTACAGAAATTCTTTCTTTTGAGTTCATTTTTATGAATTTAATATTTTTTGTTTAATAAAATTTAAAATGACAATATTGTTTAACTTTTTAACTTATTTTTAATTTTATTTATATTTTTGTACTATATTCCACATCTGAATATTATTATGTATATAGGGTGACTGGCGGTGATAAGTGTTGAAAATTTCAGGAAATGTTTCTACTCACCATATGCAACAAAAAACTTCCTATCAACCAACGATAAAGAAGTAATTTCATTGTTGTTTTTTTTTTAATTTTTCAACTTAGGTCCTCTAAATTGCTTGTAAACACTTCAGAATTACTGTCTGTAGAAAAATCTGATTAGCTCCACCTGAAAGAACGTTAAATTTGCTCTAAGAAAACTTATTTACATTGCAGAATTGATGTAGTTCTTCACGAAAAATTCAGAATAAACAAAAATGTTGAAATTTTGAATTTTTTGAAAATGTTGGATTGGTAACTGTTAATAACTACAAACTCCTGGAGCTTTGCAAATTCCCTCAAATGTTTTCCAATCCATTAGCTTTCAGTGGTGTACCCAACTTTTTGGATTGCGCTTCTGGAAGACCCAAAAATGTTGCATTTTGTTGAAAAAACTTGTGTTGATGAAGGAGGGGGGCAATCTAACATTTTACAAAATTCAGAATTACAAAAATTCCAAATTTCAACATTTTTGTTTTTCTGAATTTTTTGTGAAGAACTATTCCATCAATTCTGCAATGTAAGCTTTCTTACAGTAAATTTTATGTTCTTTAAGGTGGCGCAAACCAGATTTATAAGCAATTTACTGTACTTAAGTGGGGGGGAACTGAAATTACTTTTTTACTATTGAAGTTTGGACAAGGGTTGATAGGAAGTTTTTGGTTGCACTTGCTGAGTAGAAACACCTCCTGAAATTTTCGACACTTATCGCCAGTCACCCTGTATATTTTTTTTTAAATATACATAATTATTTAAATGTCAAATTTAAATGGAAAAGAAATATGTGTGGCATTAATTAAACCTTATCCTATTTATGTGTATGGTAGTTATAATTTTTTTATGGTTACCTTAGGGTTGCAAGTCCCATTGGCTTGCTCTGGAGCAGCATAAGGGACAGTTCCAACTTCACCATGTGGATGCGTAGCTGAGAGCAGTGATTGCGATTGATGGGTGGCAATACAGCACGAAAGGCCAAAATCTCCGACTTGAACTTCCTTGAGATCATAACTGATAAAAATGTTATTAGGCTGAAAAATATATCTCCGTTATAATAAACGATGAGACTTAGTACTAAACAAATAAGCTCACATTAATGTCATGATGGACGATTCCCTGTGAATGTATGTACTCAACACCCTTCACAACTTTTTTAAATATATTATTACAAATGTTATAGTCTGGAGTCGAACTGTCTCGGTTTCTGATGTCAAGCCATTGGCGCAACGTCTGTTGGCAAAGCTGCATTTGGATGTAGAGAGTGGCAAAATGTGACAATCCCTGGAAATGGGAATTCGCCATTTGATATTTGTGCACGACCATCTTTTGCTGTACGCTAAAGGAACTTAATGAAGATGACGACGATTCAGAAACATTATTTTGCTCATTCATTATCAAACTGCTGTTCTCTTTTGAGCAATTAGAAATGATCAATTCTGATGATTTGTCGAAAACAATAAATTCTAAAGATTTGCTGCTAGATTTTTTGCTCTCATTCCTGAAAAGTAGAAAAACAACTTTTTATAAATTGTGAGTTTTCCTTGAAGTCTGAATTTAAAAAATTTGTTTTCGAACACTAATAAATTGACATTTTCAGATTACAGTTCAGATAATGACGGATTACTATGTTTCAATGGAAAAATAAATAATAATAATAATCAATTATTTAGACTGAGCAAGGTTTGGACAGATGATGGCAAGTGTTGATCCTATGATGATCTTGTGCTACACGTCCACAAGCCTCTATTTTTTTTTTCCAGGTGTTTTTGAAACAAGCCCATTTGTAAGTATGGTTCGAATATAGGGCCACTGTATATGAACCCAGGACCTTTAACTTACAGTGATGAGTGCTGTGTCAACGCCTAAACCGTTGTGGCCACTAACGCCCCCCTTCCTAAATTTATTCTATATGACCTGCAGTTTAGCAATGTCCAACACCAGTCCCATGTCCATTGTTAACTATTTTCATTAGTCATATTTCTGCTCAATCCCACTTTGGTATCACCCTTTAGGATGGCTGTTGAAAAATTCTTGCAATTGCAACTTCTGCAAAACAGATTAATTTTTCTTTTCAACCCCACGAATCAAAAGAAATAATATGATGAAATAAAGTCTAGAATATAGTTTAAAAACTGCGGTTAAATCAAACTAGAACTAGCTAGAATGGAATATGTTTTTAGTGTACCAAAATCAGGTAATATTATGGCAATTTTGCATGCATTAGTGAAGTTTAGAGTACAAAATTCACAGAACAAACTCATAATGAATAACTCTTTTGTAGTGAAACATCTCTACAACGATCACCTCTCTAACAGACAATTTTTGCATTCCCTAGCAAAAAAGATAAGACTTGCAATCAGCCCCCCCCCCCAGTCTGAGTAATTCAACCCTTTAGAACAGACGAAACCAATAAATATATTTTTCTTTCCAAAAGGTAGATTGGGGATGAGGCCAGGAAGCCAATAGTTTCATTTTTGATGCAATTGTTTCTCCAAACTCCACACAAATATTATTGTAAAAATACATAATTTACTTAACATTAAAAGAATTAAAAACTAAAAATATTGGTAACTAAACATTAAAATATAGAGGTTGACTAGAATAAAACCATGTGACTAGGATAAAACTAAAGTACAATTTGTAGTTTTAAAAAAATAACAATATCTACATATAACATCGATGAAGCACCCCGCTGTTGATTACTATTTTCTTTGGTGATTGATCAGCCTTCTCAGTTTAAATATATTTTTCTTTCCAAAAGGTAGATTGGGGATGAGGCCAGGAATGAGGGCCCAATCTACCTTTTGGAAAGAAAAATATATTTAAACTGAGAAGGCTGATCAATCACCAAAGGAAATAGAAACCAATAAAAATACATTAAATGTCCACATGAAAAAAAATATTAGTTAAGATCATTTTAAAATTGTTTAAGGAAGGTTCGGCAGGTCTGGCAACCTTTGCAGAGAAATAAAAACTATTTTATTTAAATTTCCTGTATTGACACAACTGTTAGGAAATTCTGCACACTTTCCTCCGCCCTTCTCTAATTGCTACATTTTTTCAGGAAGTTCTGTTCCTCTTTACATATTCTGTTCTGTATTCATTTGAACAAGTCTTGAAAATCCATTTTTGGGAATTACATAGGTACATTTTTGAAATGGACTTCTTTCAGAGAGGAATGAATTGTTCATGCATTGGACAGCTCTTTTCTTTCTTCTTTTTTTGTTCCTAATTTTTTCTATAAACTACTTTGTCTTTTAAGTTCTGTTTTTTCCTTGAAAGCTTCTCTTTCATGGAGGCACCAGAAATTCTAACACTCTATTTAACAACAGGACTGATTCTCCAGAGATCTTGACCTGATTGGTATTAGGTCCCTCGGCTCTAACTACTCCCCCAACATAGGAAGATTTATGGTTCTTCAATTCGGCACACTAATCGAGATGGAGATGTTGCGAACCTTTTCTGTGACTCCTTGCCAATTTTCAAAAAGAAGATTTTACTATTTTACTAGTATTAAAAGAGTAATTTGCTTAGCCTTGTTTATTATTGATTTTTTTTCTCTTGGCCACAAGTTTTATTGTTATCTATTGCAGTTATCTAATTGTTATCTATTCTTTTTATCTAATGTTGTTTTTATATTCTGACCATTTACAAGTTCTTTTTGTACTCTTGACTGTTCAGTTTTGTATTATTTGACACATTTGAACTGTAATAAAATAAATAAACATGATTGACTGTGAATGGTAGAAAAATTAAGTATTAACAAAATTTACTATTTATTTGGTCTATTAGTGGTAAAATGGACATATCTACTGTTGCCGCTTTTCATGCAACTAATGTAAATTAAAAGAGCTATTTTGGATACTTGAGTTCTGTGAAGATAAATTAGAAAAAGAAAAGAAGAAAAAAAAAAGAATTGCCATGGTAAACAAATTAACAATGCAACATAGATGAAATATCAAAGTTGAAAAAAAGACTAAGATCGATTACTTTTATCAATTATAAACATATACTTTTATTTAATTGAAATACATAGTATTATATGTTATGTACAATATACATTTATGCATATTTATGATTATTTAAATACAAGTCTATTTTAAACCTCATCTGAACAGGCACCATTCAATAAAGGACAAAAATTCTAAATTCACTGAATAAAGTTTATTTCACTCTGCCCCTTTGACCACAAAGCAACTTGTTAAGCTGTTTTAAATCAGCAATCATCAATAGGCACGAGGATTTTTTTTTAAATTTTACAAAATATTTAAAAAAGATTTTAGATTTAAATAAAGCTTGAATAAAGTAAATTTCTACACTCATAGAAGATAGCAATTGTTTAACTTCATGAAGTATTTTTCCTATTCTTTTCACTTTCCCCGTGATTAATGGCGTCTTTTGATGCACCAAAGCAACCCGAGTACTTGTGTTTGGATTTGATTCTACACTTTGATGAAGAACCTCATCAATATCAAAGGACTCAACTGTTATATCTTTTAAACCAATGCCGGCCAGGGGGCTGACCAAGCTAAGTAAGCTGTTGCAGTTGCTACAAATGCTTTCTATCCCAGTGATATCTTTATACGAATATTATTTTTGTTAAGAAACAGTCATCTTTATTTTTAGAAAGAAATAATTAAGCTAAGGCTTTATTGAGCCAGTCGAAAGTTTATCAACAAAGTTTGGTAGTGCTCTACCAGATAGTATTAATAGTTGGAAAACATTAAACAGAACTAACATATAAACAATTTTTTTATCAACCAAAAAATTCATGTTTTTCATAAGTAGTAAGTTTTTAAAATATACCTTATTATGACAGGACATGTGGATACGTTTAACATTCTCCCCCCAGGTTTGCAATAGAGGTTATATCAACCCCTGGGGTACCGGTGTTATATAATAAAAATTAAATAAAAATAAAAAACCCAATAATATTATTTTACTTTTAAATAGGAATAAATGCATGAAAATTCACTTACTCTGAATCTTTTATCGACAACTGTTGATGGGATTCTTTTTCGATCATTTCAAGCCAAGCTGCTTTATAAGCAACAATATTTGGATGATTAAGTCTGGCTAAAGTCCGTACCTCCATTATATCTTTTAGGCTGCGGTTCACTCTTCAATTAAAAACAAACGTCAGTTTATTACATTGCATATATTAAAAAATAATAAACGATTAAGATTTTACTATACTTTAAATTGATTTTCTTCACAGCGTATAAACCTCCGTCAAGCCTGTGCCTTGCTTTATAAACACTGCCAAAACCTCCGTGTGCAATAAACGCCAATTCTTCAAATTCTGTGGAGTATCTTGACCAATTTATGATACCATTTGATAACTGTGGTATTGGATTTCTGGAAAAAAACGAAAAGGTTAACCAAATATAAATTTATCCCTTAGAAAGGATGAAATACTAACAAAGTTTTCCATAAAGTCTCTCTATTATCTACATTTGTTAATTTAGCACGATTTAAAAACTTGCAAAGCGCTTGTTGGTACTGGGTGCGCAATATCTGCAAATCGTCTCGTTTGTAGCTCTTTCCAACGAGGTTCATCTGTCGTAGAGCCTGGCAGATATCTAGACAATATGTTATATTAATAACTATAATAAAAATTGCACGGTTAGGGAATAAGTACATACTGAGATACAATTTCTGTTGTTTCTGTGGGTCTTCTTCCAAGAGGATGCTGAGTTGGGCAACCAAAGACTCGACTAGAAGACTTGAGGGTGAAAGATTCACAGCGTCATCTTGATTCACAATATCCTTGCATGATGACTCTCCTGAAATGTAACATACTTATTATTAAGTACAACAGAGTATCTAGAGGATCAGGCTTAGGAGAAAAATACATTCTTAAGTTGTGCACATCACTAACTAGGAGTAAGCAATTCATGCAATTTGACAAAATGTACAGAAAGACTGTTTAACTATTGTTTCAGGTGGCAATTTTGAAAGAATATTCCAAAAAATTATTATTCCTTTAGAAAAAACAATAAAACAAAAAACTGAAGGTTCACAATATATATCACCCCTGGGGTTTCAATAATTTAAAAAAAAAAGTCCAATTGTAAGCACTCCGGGTTCAAATTCAGGGCAGCTGAGATTTGAAATGGGAACTTTTACAGTGCCATGTCAACGCTGATCGATGGCTCATTAACTTACTATAATTATGATTTGAGTCTGCTAAAGATGGGCCATAGAGCCTGATATGTTGATTGCAAATAATGAATGCAAATTATTTAGTGTTACAGTCCTTGGCAATATTTGGACTGAGTCAGTTTTCAGGAAAAATTAGAACGCCTGTAAAAACTTAAATATGTCAATCTGTAGACATATTTAAGATAGTTTTGCTCTGTTAATAACCTTCAAATAGGCTGAAAGCTTGGCAGGAACAACTGAATTTACTTTCTTCCAGACCATACCTTGAACCAGTGTTTGTAAATAAAAAAATTAAAAAATTGTATTTAAAAACAATAGCAAATCACATTCTGTGAGATAAATGTGTGAAATCTACAGAATAGTTCATTCAGTCAACTGTGAAAATATATGGTAAAGTGTGTGAAAAGTAATACAGTCGACTCTTGATCATTTGAAACCCAAGGGACCACAAAAACAATTCGAATTGTCACGATGTTCGAATTATCAAGAGGAAAGAAAAAAAAAAATGTTGAGAGTTGATATGCATTTTTCAATGTTAATACTTAATTGTACATTCACAAAACATAGTAAAAATAATGAAAAAGTGGAAATAAATCAACTGTAAAATTGAACATTGTTACAGATTATTAAAAAAAATGTGAAATGGTTTTTTGTTTCAGTGTGGCCTGGCATTCTTTGTTTAAATGATTTTCCAAAGTGAGCAGTGCTGAGAACTCATTGATAAAACACTGACCGCAGAACATAACAAACTAGAGAAAATTCGAAGAAACTTTAGGCTGTAAGGAAGTAAACAATAGGTGGAAATTTAGAGGAATATAACAAAGAAAAAGTGCAAATTATAAAGATGGGAAGTGGCTCCATTTCGATTAATAGCATGCTTTTTCTCCCCGTTATGAAAATATTTTGTATTACCAAGTGTATCAAAATGTACAGATTTTTTCAAATTAAAAAAGTGACCTGCCGAGGAGTTTGTATTATCAAGAAATTCGAATTAACAAGAGTCGACTGTACGTTGAGATTACAATTGAGATCTGTGGGTTTGCACATTTCCGAGCACTCTGGTCTGCCTATTCTTGCTGTATTATGCTGACAGATACATTTTGGCTTCTCACAGTCTTCACTGGTGAGCATATTATTTTCCTCTACCTGTTTATATCCCTGATAAACCCAAATTCTATTCTTACAGTACACCAAAAAATAGGAGGTCAGAACAGAATGATCGATGTCAACAAAAGTAGGTATATAGGTAATAACAAATTTTAATCTTTGCTTCTGTAACTTCCACATTAGTATTGGGTCAAGCCTCGGAGAGCCTTTAGAGTGGTCCGGTTATTTTATAGTACTATTATAGTTGCACCCTTAAGATGTTCATTATTTATTTCATACAAACATGTTTCTATAGCTATCAATTTGGTTTGAGTGACGATTTAGTAGAGCTGAGGGTATCATACCATCACTCACTCCATGCTTATATCCTTACCAAGCATGAGTGTTTTGCTAGTGTTTTTGTGTGGGTTACAAATGCCAAAATATTTATGAAAGATATGTTGAAAATGTTTACAATAAAGGGTCACAACCTTTTTCATGGTCAATTTTCATTTTGGTGTGTGTAGTTGCTTTGGTATATATACATCAGTAGGGGGTTTGCCGGGTGGTATCTGTCAGGTTTGATATTTCCCCATTTTAGTGGTGGATTCTGTTGTACCTAATAGTGCTTATTTCCCTGACAAAATGAAGTTAGGTCGCCTCCGATTCATGCTTTTTTAATTTGCCAAACCCAACACTGTATCTGACAGGCCAAAGCAACTAAGATAAGCATGGATGGTTGGAACACATCGAACTACAAATAATGACAAAACAGAAAGATGATTGGCTCTGAGAGTCTGTGAACACATGTTAAACCATTACTGAGTCTACACTCGCAATGCATTTTGGCTTTGTGCCATCTTCAGTAAGCAACTTCCAGAAGTGAATTATAACGAGTGCAGACGGACCCAATAGTGGTTCAACATGAAAACAAAAGTGATGGCAAAGTTGGAACACGTCATAATACTACTTGTGCTCAGATCTAAGTATAAATTTAAAAATTCAAGGTTGTATTCTGATGTAACTTCTGCATACTTTTAACTAGTATAGTAGCAAAAGACTACTTCGTTCCGACCTTTTATAGTTACATTCTAATAAAATTTAGTCAATATCAGCAGGGTTGATCAAATTATGGTCCTTTTCAAACCCTCTTTCATTTTGGCCATGTACAGAAGAAAAATGATATTAAGAGTTATTATATGTACGGACCTCCGTCGAAGGACGAGACGGTCGTCAGTGATGAAAAATCTTCTTCATTCATGGTCATCTAGAATTTCCTCTTAACAGCCAATCCTCACACCAACAATCAGTCTTAGTTTTAAGGTAAATCATTATTTTTAAACTATTCTACTACTCTATCACCTAAACTGGTCATTATTATTATATAATTCTTTTTCACACATAATGTTTAGCAATTGTAACGTTCAAATATGTGCTGTGTGGAACGTTCGCGACTTTCATACTTTAACCTACGCCACTGTTATAATATAAGGATTGAGAGAGGGAGTTCAGTGCTTGTTTGATCGTGGTGGGTTGATGGTTTTTTTAAACATTTGTTGTTGTTTTTTGTCATTTTTTAAATTTATTATAATTAAGTAAATTAACCCATATGTTCTGAGTTTTTGTCTTGCATTGATTATTGGTGAAATCCAATTTATTTTTCGTGAAACGTGAAAGTCTTGGTTGGCAACGCGCGTCCGTTGGCCAACCTGCACTTTTCCACTTTCCGTCGGTGTCGCCTTTCGTGATCAGTACGCATTTCAGGTGGGGAGACGCTGTTGGTCGATTTCGCCAGAGTTTCTGTCGCCATTAGTTTTTTTCTCTGCCTTTGGAAGAGGGGCCACCCAGTCCGGCGCAACTTCGGACGCCTCCCGTTCGAAATCCATCCCAAGGGCGAAAGGGATCTCTATTATTCATTCATTTTAAATACAAAATCTCTTGATCAAGAGACAACACTAGTGACACTCAGTTTTTACAGAAAGACCCAGAAATTTCTATTTTCAATTGTCTTTGTCGAACGACAAAAAAATTTTGGTTTTTCTTCCCTGTATTTTTTTTGTCGATATTGTAAAACTGCCCTGACGGTTCCCGTTGAGAAAAGGGGACGTCTGAAGGTTTTTTCAACATTCCTCGGATTTAACAACACTCAAGGTAAGCACAATTTCACAACCTTAATTAAAAATAATAATAATTTTCCCTCAGTAAAAAAAATCAATTTTTTTATTACAGTTCTAGAAATGGCGGAGGATTTTGTAGAAGCAATGCTGGAAGCTCCATACAAAAAAGGGGTAAGAATCGAACGAAAATTTTTATTTTTTTCTATTTTTTTAAAGATTTTTTATGCCCTTTCCTTTTTTCTTTATGTATATTAGTATGTTCGTTTTATAATAATTTACTCTTTTTTATCGAGTTCTACTCACTTTTCATTTATAATATAATTAAAATAGCCGACAAATATTTAAATATTTGTCCAAAGTGATTTTTTAAAATTACAATCTGGTATTACTGTTGAAACTTATTGAGGTTAACGTTACGTAACACAAGCTCAAAACCATATTTCGTCTCGTTTTGTCGATTTTTCCAACTTTATTCAATGGATTGATTTTAATTTTTAAATATTGCAAAAGGGAACAGAAAAAATAGTAAATAGAAAGACCAAATTCTACCCTTCATTAAAAAAAAATATTACTACTGCTGTAGATATTATAACTGAAATTAGTGAAATCCTTCATTCTGCTTGCATTCGACGTATTTTCCAGTCTTTTTCTGTCATTAATTTTTGTCCACCCGGGAAAATTAACTTGTCCGCCTTCTTTTCCTATTTTTTTTCAATACCTTATGGGTTGAAACTTGCAATGAGCTTCTCAAGAGAGTGGTTTATTTTTCACGCGTTACCCGTATGTGTCGTTAAAAAGATATTACTTTTTTAATTTTTTTTTACGTCAATAACGAAGTAGCTTTAAAAGAAAATGAGTTTCTCTTTGAAATGGGGGATCTGTTTGGAAACTCGGCCGTATCGATTGTACTCGTGAAACTTCGATAAAACGAACGCGTGTGGCACGTGGCCGTTTGGGGTTAGGCGGTTCACGAACCATAAAAAATTATTATTATTTATTCTCCCATCGCCCGGAAATCCAGGAAAGGACAAAAGTCCCGATGGAAAATTCCAGCCGCGTTTTACCCCTTCGACGCAAGTTTCGTTAGGGGGAAAGAATTGAGCGTACTTTTAAAAAGCTGTGGCCGTTGGAAAATAATAATACGTGTTAATCATTTTTTTTTCTTTTGCTCTTGTCTATTGTAAAAATATCGCTTTACAATCTATAATTTATATTATTTTTATTACACTAAATTTGGTCAAATAGGACTGTAAACATTTATTAAACAACCAACTGCTTTGCTTAACTTACTTTTACAAAATCAACCAACAATTTTCAAAAATAATAAAATGCGTAAAAAAATCAACAATTGGGTTTTGATGGACGAAAACAACTGGGCTCTTATAAATTCACATTTAATGAATTTTTGAAGCCTTACATGCTTCCTGTTCAGAACATCAGGGGTTCAGAAATGGAACATAAAATGTTTGTAAAAAAAAAGTAATATTGGATTGTCCAGAAAATAATACAGGTTTATTGCAATAAAAACTAACAAAAACTGTGGCCAACACTGAAATAGTAAGGTAAAAAAAAAAAAAAGGCTATAAAATTAAAATAAATGATTTAACAAATTTTTTATTAATTAAAATATCCTCCATCACTTTCAATACACTTCTCCCAATGTGATGGCAACTTCTTCTCTATACTCTCTGAATAGAATTTTGAGTTTATTATTAACAAATTCTAAAGTTTCTAACAACTTTTGATCAATATTTTTTAATATTGTAAAACATCCAGGTGTCTGAAAAAATGGTAGTCGGTAGACGAGAGGTCGGGAGAACAGTGAAGGTGAGGCATAACCTCATAATCAAGATCCAAGAGTTTTTGTATTGTCCCATTCAAATGAACAATAAAACACACTCGTGTGAGGTTGTAGCGTCACGCTGCAGTTACGGTTTGACATTTGTACAAAAGAATAAAACATAAACGGTTTATTGTTAGAGGAGTAATAGAAAGAAAACCTGCATTATAAACATAATATTAATAAGGACTACTCAAAACAACATTTTATGAATTTATCCTATTATACAGATGAAAGGTTATATTTAAGTAAAAGTAAAGTAATACCTGTAATACAGGAGGGTTGTATGGCCCCACTAAAAATGTAGATTTAGGTTTTTGTTTTTTGCCAAACATTGAGGAGCTGTCAGGCAAGGGAGGTAAAATTCTTCTTATAACAGAAAGGTTTTAGAATAGCTTTTAGAGGGTGCACTTAGTAACATCTTAAACCCTAAAGACAAGGTACCGAAAAGTGGGGATTACAAACTCATTGTGTTTATGTAATATACAATTTTCATATATACTACATATGATGTATTTGATACGACAAGGCAGCAGAGAAATTAAAATGAGGGTTAAAAAACACTTGCCAAAATCAACAAATCTTCTTAATTTAAGGACCATTAAATTAAACAAAACAAATTACAGTGTTACACAGTTTCAACAAAGGGAGGGAAATAGATTGTTTGAGAAATTTGAAATAAAAAAGTAAAATTAAACATGGAGAGAAATGCATAAATAATAATAACAGATCCTTATATACTTAGCGGTCATAATTGACCTATTTAATTATTTTAATTAATTATACTGTTTAACATCTTGGTTGAGATTAAAACGTTCATGTCACTAGCGGGATTCGAACCCATGACCAACATTCGGCTCAATATCCACTGCTCTAACTGCTTAAGCTATCGTGATATCCTCGGACACCAATTCCTCATCTCAACCTACAGTATTTCTAATTTTCCCTCTTTTTGCCAAATTTTGAAATATTGTGTAATCAGGATTTGATTCTCAGGCTGTTAGTAAAGTAATTACTTGTAATTATCATATTCTAATTGAAATAATAAAAGCTTTTGATTTACCTCCTATTTTAAAAATGTACCTAAATAATATTTGACATATAAATTAATGTGTAGAGATTAGTGACCGTTAATCGATAGTTATTCAGATATTGTGACCGCATCTCACCATATCTGAATAAATATAAATTAATGATTACTTAAAGATCGTGTGATGTAAATTTAGAAAAACATTTTCTTTATTGTGCCAATGTGTCAATCTTTATTGAGATCATCTTCAGGGGACGTAATCAATAAAATGATAACAAGAATAGAAATAATAACACTACATCAATTCTATCAAATACAGATAAACCAATATACACATCCATTCTGTTTGTTCACGGCCGATCGCACAGATTAAACATATTTCTCTCTTAACTTTTAAAATAGCCTTCAAAAACTATTCACTCCTTTTTTCTAAAATTAAAGAATCCCATACCAGTAACAAATAAGTCTAGTGCAATTTACAAAATCAGTTGTATAAATTGTCAGGCAACTACATTGGAATTGCATCCTAATATCCTGGATAAGAGAGTAAAATAACATCTATGATTGCAAAAAAATCCAAACAAAATCTTACAGCACTGGCTACTCACCATTTTGAACACCAACACAATTTCAATTCCAACAATCCAAAGACATTAAGCACAGAATAAAACAAACATAAATGAAACTTTCTAGAAAGGTTTACATCAGCTGAGATAAACACAGCATCAATTACAGAAAAGACATGCGTAATCTCAGCCACATAACATACATATAACACAAAACATATAGTACAATGTATAAAACAATCATTACACTCTGCTCACCAAACAGTTGTACATAGTCTAAACCTTCAAAATTTATCCTGAAAGGCCAACCAGGCCCGAACGACAAACTCCTTTTTTCCATTGTCCTTTCACCTCAAAGAAGCTGACTCCTCATAGAAAAATGAATTTCTATCCCTACTTCCTTCCTCACTCCTTCAAAATCAAATATATATGCGACACACAACAGTGTCACATCTACACAGAAAACACTTTGAATAAGTACAAATACTTTTATTAAACCAAGAATTTCTATATTGTGTACATTATAAATTCATAGACAAAGGTTTCAAACCACTTTGCAAGACTTTTTTTGTAATACATATTTTCAATTAAAAAGCCTTGGGCTGAGTCGGGATTAAAACCCAGAACCGTTAGCGAGGAAAATGTGATTCAAAAAGGATGGTTCTACTTACTACTACTGGTACTACTGACTGGTTTTGTTAATGTTTTAGTGTGATTTTGACCTTTGCTCTCACTTTTTTACCCACATCACTGAACTGGTTTGAAAATCACAATCTGAGCACTGGCCTGCGAGTGCCAGAAGTGTTCGCAAGTTAACACATGTCATATGACATGGTGTAATTTTTGTTTCTCCCCCTCCTCTGTCTGCTTATAACAGACTTATTCGTTGAAAATTGAAAAATCTCTAAACTTACTATCAATTTAAGGTTTTTAGAAATAATTTTCTTAGGAAAGTAAAAGGAATAAAGCTAGGGGGACATGAGGGATGTTGTCCCGTGACCATTTGGGGAAGTTTGGCCTTATTATCTATGAGTTTTATTTAGTAAAATTATTTGTAAAGCAATGTTTTTACATTTATACAGTTTTTCGTGGAGCACTGGTTGTCAGAATGATTTCAAGTTTAAATATTTCATTTTGTACCATACATTTATTTAGATGGAAAATATTTATAGGTTTTGGTTTATTTTTACTGCGTATGTAACTAATGGAGTGACTCATTGCATCAACCCAACCGAAAAATATTGCTGAAAATGACTTAAAAGACAATTTAGTTTTCCCACATTTTCTAGACCAGTTAAAGGCATTTTTATTATAAAACAGAGTTTAATTTTTCACCTAAAAATAATATTAATAGAAAGCCAGGCTTTCTGTACTAGATTTACAAATTTTAATATATTCCTTTTGATACAAATTTAAAATATAATTTACCACATTAATTTAGTGTTAGTCAAAGTCGAATGAACAGTCTCTTCAGTGTTGCATCATATCCTAATTTAATTTTGCATATTTATTAATTCATGGGGACTTGAAATTATTAATACTAAGATTAATAAATTTATATTATGAGTTTTGAAAGAAAGGACATTTGTTCAACATCTTAATGTTTAAGTCATTACTGTTTTATGATAAAAAATATGTCTTCATATGTTTAATTTATTTTATAAATTTTTAAACCCCGAAATGTATATTATGTGTTTATTATTGTATTGTGTTTAACAAAAACAAAATACCCCTACATAAAACCCATTCTTTCGGCTTAGGATCCAAAATATGATGAGTTTAGCGAGAGAAGGACTTCCTTACATCAAATTTCTACGGGCTATGAGTATAATGGTAATAAAACAAACAGAACTGGTTGGTCACTTGTCTAATCTGTAGTGCTTTTCTTATCAAATAGTAAACCAAATATTTTAATTAAATTTTGGTTTGACAAAATTCACTCAATAAATCTCTTTAAAAAAGTCCATTTTAATAACTGTAAACTGCAAATGAAATAAGGCCTTTTCTTTTAATTTGTTTTTAACAAATATACCCTTGTAAATTAATTTTATTTACAACACTTAATTGAAAATATTGAAAGGCTGTGTTACATTTTTTCTTTGGCCTTTGGATGCTTAAAAAAGAATTGTAAAAGAGACAAAAAATGAACTTGTATTATGAAAACAAAAATGTTCATTGGCCCATATCTTTGCAGAATAAGGCTGTCTTACGTGTTCTATAAATGGATGTCAATTGTGTACTTCTCAATGGGATACAACTCCGAAGGTAAGATATTGTACCCGCAGCGCAACCATGAAAAGGACTACTAGGAAAATATTTATTTTTGAAAAGACACCCATTTTTCCCTTTTCCTCATCTTTTTTCCCACATCTCTTTTCTTTTACTTTTTCTCTTTCTTTTTTTGACTTGTCATTACTTTGATATTAACATGACATTTTCTGCCCATCTGCGGTTGCTGCGGATTACCTATGGTTTGCTGTTTAGGACGATGGTACCAGTTCAAGATCACTCAAAGAAAATGGAACATCTGGCAGCCACAAGTCATCGTAAGTTGAATTCGTTGCTTAGTTTTCTTTTTCATCCCCTTTCTCTCTAAAAATACGTCATTTTTCTTTTAGGAAAAGCAAACACAGAGATCGTTCAAGGTCACGTGAGCGTCGTCATGGCAGCCGAGACCGCAGGAAAAAAAGTAAGAGCCGCGATAGGGAGAAGAGGAGTCGCAGCAGGGAGCGCAAACGCCGCAGTAGTCGCAGTAAGAGTCGAGACCGCAAGAAAAGGAGCAGGAGCAGAAGTAGGGATAGGCCGAGAAGGAAAAGGTCGTTGACGCCACTTCTGCTTCCTGGAAGGAAAGAGCCTTACATCAAATACCGCAAGTCTCCACCTCTCGGAATGTAAGCATCTCGTACTACTTTAATGTGATATTTATTTTTTAATTCAAGGGCTAATTTTTGTATGTTATATATATTTTTAGTCCCCCTCTCGATGACCTCTCTCCAGAAGAAAGGGATGCAAGAACTGTTTTTTGTATGCAGTTGTCCCAGAGAGTTCGAGAAAGAGATTTAGAAGAGTTTTTCTCGTCAGTTGGCAAGGTAAGTTTGGGTTACACATCAATCTATCTTTTAAAGTATAAAAATTGTTTTTTATTGTATGAATATTTTAGAAGTAAATGTAAAAGAATTGTTTATTGTTAGGTTCGTGATGTCCGGTTGATCACATGCAATAAGACGAGAAGGTTTAAAGGTATTGCATATATAGAATTTAAAGATCCCGAATCAGTGCCTTTGGTAAGTTATTTTAAATTAATTTTTTTTTTTTTTTAAACAACAGATGATAACTTTTTGTTATTTCAGGCTTTGGGCTTGACCGGGCAAAAGCTGTTGGGAGTTCCTATTCTTGTGCAACAGACGCAAGCAGAGAAAAACAGGACGGGCAACTCCATGCCGAATCTCATTCCCAGAGGGATGCCAGGTCCCATGCGTCTTTACATTGGCTCGTTACACTTCAATATCACCGAGGACATGTTGCGCGGAATTTTTGAGCCTTTTGGCAAGATTGACAGCATCCAGTTAATGACAGACCCGGAAACAGGAAGATCCAAGGGTTACGGTTTTATAACAGTGAGTAAAATAGGCTAATCTTAAACTTAAGATAGAGAGCTAAGATTAGAGTAAACAAAACCCTCCCATTTTGCTGACAAGATTTAACATTCGGAATATTTCTAGATGTTCCTGACCAACAGTTTTTAGCTTCTTTCCTTTTCTGGACCAACTTGGCCTTCAAGAGTTAAAAATTGTCTGGCCTTGTGAATTGTAAAAATATCATTTTTACAACACTTATGTAAGTCATTTATGGAAATTTAAACATTTTTCTTTTCTTTTGTACCTAACTTTTATGACGGTTTCAAGAAATCAGACCCTGACACACAAAGAATGTCTTAAGAGTATTTGCTGGTTCTCAAATGACGGTTAACTGAGGGCTCAAATAGATGCTCAGTTAGATATTCTTTGTGTGGCATCGACACAATGTAAATAAATTACAAATACCAACGGATATTGATGAAATAATACACAAGAACAATTTTGAAGTGCTAAACTAAGAAGGATTTGATTCGTGGCCAAAGCAGTTCCTTCCTGACTGGCGAGAACACTCAGTGTTGAACAAAACTAATTACAAAAGATCAGAAAAAGTACGATGTACTTCGTCCCAGCAAAGCAATGTTTTTCCACTTTCTGCATTTTTCTTTCAATCATTGAAATAAATTTAGTGGGAAAGTGTGATATTAAGTTTTTCTTCCAATTTCCATTACTCGGACGGATGTCAGATGTGATTATTTGAACGATCAAACTCATCTTTTTGTCGCCATATTTTTTAAATTTTTTTAATTGGGATTTTGAAAAAGAAAAATGTTTCCCCATCCTATGAATTCTGAAATGTTTAAATTTCTTCCATAATCTGGAAAAGTATTATTGCTACAACTAATTATGTATAACGATTACAATTTCTGATCAGTTGGAAAATAGCAAACTTGGTTATTATTTTATTAGTTCTTGGTTAAACACGATTGTCTTGGCTCTCTTCAGTTGAAAAATGATTGCTATTATCTTCATAATTTTGCTTCTAAATGCTTTTTAAAATTGGTTAATACTAAGTTTTATAATGTATGAAATATAATTTTGTAAAATTAACTAAAAATATTTATTGTAGAGTTTTAAGTACTTATTAAATTTTTCTTTGTATGTCAATTATATTTAAATTGTAAAGAACTTATTGTCAATTAACAAGTGTTCTGTGTCTCAAAACAAAATGTTGGACTATTTCACACCTTACCTTTCTTATTTGCATGATTTGTTGGCTTAAAATATTTATTTCCTTATCCAAGAAAATATTTTTATTGTTTTTGATACTTTTGTCATGTTGTGTTTTACAGACTAGATACAACAACAAATTGAAAAGGAAAATGGGCAAAAGATTAGTCACAATAGTCCAATGTTTTGACCACTCACTTGTGCCGTACGAAAAATAATATATTCTTTGTTTTGATGACGAATGCTTTAACCGCAGTAACATTATTTATTTTGTGATTTATTTTTAAATAATAGCATTTAAGTAGACCAGTCAAGTGTAATATATACAATTGATTGGGGGAAAAACAATGCAATATTAAAAGGAAGTTCAGGAAGTGACATTTTTTAGGTTACATCCAGTGTAGTTCCTCCTTACAAAAAAAGATTAATTTATTGTTCACTAATTAGCATTTAAGTAGACCAGTCAAGTGTAATATATACAATTGATTGGGGGAAAAACAGTGCAATATTAAAAGGAAGTTCAGGAAGTGACATTTTTTTATGCTACGTCAGTGTAGTTCCTCCTTACAAAAACAGATTAATTTATTGTTCACTAATTAGCATTTAAGTAGACCAGTCAAGTGTAATATATACACTTGATTGGGGGAAAAACAATGCAATATTAAAAGGAAGTTCAGGAAGTGACATTTTTTTATGTTACGTCCAGTGTAGTTCCTCCTTACAAAAACAGATTAATTTATTGTTCACTAATCAGCAGTTCAGTAGACCAGTCAAGTGTAATACATACAATTGATTGGGGAAAAACAATGCAATATTAAAAGGAATCATTTAAAGTTCTATATTTTAATATATCATAACCAATGGTCACTCCTGACAACAAAAAATGTCCTAATTTTTTTTTTTTTCCAATGCTGTTGTTTAACCAAGAAAAGTCATTAACATTGTCTCCTTTTATTCTGTTTCAGTTTCACCACTGTGAAGATGCAAAGAGGGCCCTAGAACAGTTGAACGGGTTCGAATTAGCCGGCCGACCAATGAAGGTAGGTACGGTGAACGAGAAGATGGACATTGCACACACCTTTGCGTCACATATTGATACCGACGAGCTGGATAGGTCAGGGATCGATCTTGGAGCGACTGGAAGGTTACAACTTATGTTTAAACTGGCAGAGGGTAAATTTTACATAATTAATTTTTATAAACTTTTTTTATTAAATCCAAAAACAAACTTTTATATTTTAAAAAGGAACTGGAATGCAAATACCTGCAGCTGCTGCTTCAGCGTTAAATGTAGCCGGCGGTATGCCAATGGGAGCAAATGCCACACCACCGATAGCCACACAGTGTTTCATGCTGTCTAACATGTTTGATCCAGCAACGTATGCACTTTATTTTTATACTTATCGAGATTTTCATTTTAAAAACACCTTTTTTTTAGGGAGACAAACCCGAGCTGGGACATTGACATTAGAGATGATGTCATAGAAGAGTGCAACAAGCACGGCGGCGTCCTGCATGTTTACGTCGATAAAAATTCAGCCGGGAATGTGTATGTCAAGTGTCCAACAGTAAATACAGCTGTTAAAGCTGTGAATTCGCTTCATGGGAGATGGTTTGCTGGTATGTTTTTTGAAAATTCTTTCATATATATATTTTTTAATTGGATTATATATTAACAGTTAATTGTTTTAGGTCGAGTTATAACAGCTGCATATGTTCCTCTTATCAACTACCATAGCTTATTCCCTGATACGATGACAGCCAACACGCTTTTATCTACATCTGCAAGGCGAAATTTATAACCATATCAAAAGAAACACCCCTCTTCTGTACATAAGATTTTTTTCAGTTATGTTCACTAAAGCCATATTTAACTTTTATACCAAAAACTGTTTACATTTATTTATATCTGAAAAGTGAATATGTAATGATAATATATAGACTCTTAACACAACAAATGTTAGGTACATATTCTTTTTTCACTTTTTTTTTCTTTATTAGAATTTCATTTTGACACTTTTTTGTTATCATTTTTGAGATGTACCTATTAGTTATTTTAACGTAAAATTTGGAAGGTGAATATTAATATGTGTAAATTATATTTTGAATAAAACTGAAGTTTTGTTATTTTTATCAAATTACAGCTATCAGAATCCTATTTTCATTGATATTTTATTGTTTATAGCTTGACATGAAAGAATATCTTTAAAGTAGTGTAAACCAGAAGATTGAGAGTTTCGTTAAAATTTTACAATTTTCGTTTCCGCTCACTGGATTACAGCAACAACTGTTTTCATTTCTGATTTTTCCTTCTCGAAGGTGGGATAATAGGTAATCTCAGAAAACAACAACCAGCTGTTTTCAATCCAGATTTTTTTTAATCCTTCCTCAGGTATGTTAGCGCAGTGGTTAAATCAGTGGACGTCAGTCATTAATATTTAGTAATAGTTTATTTTAAAAGAAGCCCAGTGTGATACATTTTTATGACCTTAAGACTCCAAAAATGTTTTAATATTTTGATCATGTCTAGACTCCAATCTAGAGAGAGTAATCAAAATATAAAACTTTTTGCAGTCTGAAGGAAAAAATGTCTTAGTGAGAATCAGACACAAATCACTTGGCTACAGCGGTCCCCCCAATTGTGTGATCTGGTTGTTTCCATTTATCTTAGTCTCATTAAGACAATTTGATCAAACACCGGCCATGAGGATAGTTTTAAAAAAAATCAAGACCACTCCTGAAGTTGTTAAAATGTTCAAACACATTTGGTAGACCAGAACCGTGAGGATAGAATAGAATAGGATGATCAGTATAAGAGGATTTTCACAAAAACATTACAAAATATATACCATTTCAAATATATATTTTTGTAACCTGACTAGAAATTAAATTCTAAAAAACAATTTTTATTAAAATCTATACTTGTTTGATTAAATAAGCGGTTATTTTATTACAGAATGTTTAAAATTTCAGAAATTGATTATTTACAAATTAATATCCAGGTACAATTACTTTCTGATTGTTTTTTAGTTAAGAAGGCATGTCGGACCTCTTTCTTTTTGGCCTCGGTGTATCATCACTAGTCGTGTTCCTCTTGCGTTTCGGCGTCTCTTCAGGCGCCGCTTTGGAAGCTCGGCCACGAGTCAACGATTTCTCTTCAGTCTCCCTACCCAGAGGGACGCCGTCCCCGAGCGCTTGGACCATGACCTGTACAGATTGATTCAGTTCGTGTTACAGCGAACAATAAATTAAATCGGATAATCCTTTGAACGAGCTTTACCTCCATTTGGGCCAGCATGTCTTCCAACATGGTCTGCGCCATTTTGTGGACTTGAGTGTCAGATTTGTTGTACATTACGGCGTTCTGCACCATGAGAAGCATATCACGTTGAAATTCGACTGTCGTCCTGATTGTACCATTTTCAATGTTTCGTTTTATTGTTGTGAGATCAATTGGCCTAGAAATGAAAATTTATTGATGTCCAATATTGGCATTTTCCAACAAAGAATTAATATTCCAAGATTCTACCCTAATTGCGATTGTATATTCAAGAGTAATAGAAAAACTTTTTCTATTATAGACAGCCAGGGTGAAGCAGCTCCAGGTTACCTAAACCTATTTCACCTCTAATAATATTCTACAATAGAAACTTGTCAATACCAATAGCTAACTAATCCTCGAATAAAATATTATTAAAAAACAATGCGGAACTGACCCAGAATAATTTACAAATGTAATGTAATTATTCAGAAATCGTGAGATGCGGTCTGGTGTGATGTAGGTTTCAGAAAAACATTTTCTTTATCATGCCAACGTTTCGATCTTTATTGAGATCATCTTCAGGGCCTGGGATTTACAAACATTGTTTACATTTAACAAATACATGTAGGATGTGGAAAAAGTGAATTTATACAATGCAAAATATATTTTTTTATATTCAATCAAAGTTTTCTACTCACTCAAAGTGTTTGTCTTCTGTGTAATTGTGCCATCCTTGCGTGTCGTGTTGAGAGTGCCAGTGAGATTTTGCTGTTTTATGTTTATATATGTTGGATTTTGAAGGGGTGGGGAAGGAAGTCGGTATAGAAAAGACATTTTTGTATGTCCCAATGAAGGGAAAAAACGTTGGTAATGGTTCAGCCAGATTATCCTTTCAGGATTATATAGAACGGGATAAATAGGAAAAGAAAAGCTAAATTGTTGAAAAATTAGACTGCGAAAAATGTTTGATGTGTGGAATGTGATGTGATGATATATATATGTTATCTATATTGAATTTGATTAATGATATTAGCGTAACTGTGACCGAATTTACTGTCTGTTTTGTAATTGATGCTGTGTTTATCTCTGTTGATGTAAACCATTTTTAAAAAATTACATTTATATTTGTTTTGTTCTGTGTGTAATATTTTTGGATTGTTGAAGTCAAAATTATGTTTGTGTTCAAAATGGTGGGTAGCGAGTGCTGTAGGATTTTGCTTAGGTTTTTTGCAATCATAGATATGTTGCTTTACTCTCTTGTCCAGATATTGGGATGTAAGACTGATGTAAGTTTTCTGAAACCTACATCACACCAGACCGCATCTCATGATTTCTGAATAATTATCGATTAACGGTCACTAATCACCGCATATTTCTACATGAGAATGTAATGTAGTTGAGCATAAGAAGAAATAGAAAAAACAAACCTCCAAGCGCAGGGAAGGTTGTCTCTTAGGAAGCGTCATAGTCGTGAAATGTATGCAACGTTTGAAATAAAAACAATAACCTGTTGTTAAGTTCCACAAAAGAAAAAATTAATGAACAACTTTTAAGTGGAAAAAACTTATGAATCCCTACAATTTTTGCATTTTAAAACAAGAAGGGTGAATGTCAAGGTAATACAGATTCATTTTCACAAAGAAAAATGATAAAAAGGGACCACAGTAAACAAGTGGCTAGGTTGTCTACACAGTAACATCTGCAGATAGTTGTAGTCCACACAGGTCTGCTGTGTCATCCAATATTAATGAGATATGTCGTCATAGTTAATCATTTTAGATCAACCCACAAATTTTATTAGAGTTCTTCTTGAGGTCTATGTGGTGATGAATCTATAGCTTGGTCATTTCTGATTATTTTGGTGCACTCATTCTTTCCATTTTGGTCATTCAGGCATGCTTTAACTCGGTAGGTTTGCACATAACTTTTATTTTAACCAACTATATTACATGGTACTTATAACCATTGAACCACTGAGAACTTGCATTTCCTGTGGTCATATTGCTTACCCAATTTGTTATTCATCTTTATTTATTTTACCCTTTTACTTGTACTTTTTAAAGAGCAATCAATTCATTTCAAACAATCCTTAGATTCTATGGTCAAAAGGATATTGAGCCAAATGCCAAAGATGGCCACAAGCGAGACTGAGACACAATCAACTTGTTAACTTTGAAAAAAATATTTTGGTTATTTCCAATCATCCTCATACGCTATATTCACTGGACTGAACTGTCTGACGCTTTTCAGCATACCATCATCTTCAGTGTTGGCCAGAGGTGAGGGATATAAGCAGGGTGAGGAAAAAAAGCTAACTTACCTCTGAAGATGGCTAAAAGTAGAAATGTGAAATAGGACTAAACCAGCGGGGATACTTAAACCAGAATGATGAGAAACAATCAAAATTTAAGCATTATTCAGCTGGTAGTTTATAAGCTTTTACTGAAAGTTAATTCACTGAGAAATCTAGAGAAAAATATGTACAAATATTTTTTCTGTGAGTTTATTTAAATGGGCAAATGATTTCATTTATTACTTTAGACAAATATAAAACTGATAAAAAAGACACAGCATTTTTATTGTCCATTAAAGAATCGTGTCTGACAGATCAAAACAGTGATAAGCAGACAAGAATGATTGGAAACGACCAGAAAATGTTGTCAAGGCATTTCTCCTGAATAAACAGAAACATTTATTTTAATGTTTACTTACTTTAATATGACACTGTGATAGCCAGTTGCTTCAGCCTCGGTAATGGGCTTAAGAAATACAGAGGCGAATTTGTGTGCAGCAAGCCTGTTATAAACCAGTAATATTGATTTCTTCCACGATTTGTAATCTCTGTCGTCATCGCTGAAAAAATCACAAAATATATTGAAAGATGCATAGAAGGAAATAAAAATTGTAGAGTGGATTTGTTTATAGTATACTTTGAAACAGTAGACGGCGACGGGCTGCTCGGTTTTGAATCTGATATTGTTAGCGAATGGCGTTTTCTTGATACTCGCCTCTTTTCGCCACCTTCCTCTTTGCCTTCACGACTCTCTGGCGTCATAGGCATATCCAGCAATGCTTTTATTCGTGCTTCCTAAAAAATTAAAACAATTCAGTAAGAGGGATATGTTAGGATAAGTTGCCTAGGACAGTAGGAAGTTGGGGTTTGTTGCAAAAGCACTTCAGCTTAGTGGTTTATAATTCTTTTCCTGTGGGATATATTAATTTGAAATGAGTAAAAACAGAACAGTTAAACAAATAAACAAAATCAAGGAAAGAAAATATTCTTCACTTTTACAATACAAGCCCTTTTGAGGTATTAGACTAATTATAAACATGTTTTCCAATATTTTAACCTTTATTTTTTAATTTTTTACTGGAATTAATGTTAACTAGCTTTAATTGCAAAAAAGGTGCAATTGAAATTATAGTCTAAAGTGTAGTAGCAAAGCACATAATAATAAATCAAAAGAAAATTGACAATTTATTTTAAAAGTCAATAAATAAATAATACTTAAAAAATCACCTATGCTTTATAAATTTCACATTAATTATTAATATACACAATTTATTATTTGAAATACTTACTGCTTTATTTGGTTTTGATTGTTCTTGTTCCTTCACAGTCTCAAGAGATTCAGACTTGTGTTTCTTACTGAAAAGGGTATGATCAGAATTAAATGAAATATCCCAGATCAACGCCATTTGAATTACCAAGTTAGGATATAAATTAATAAAAATAAAAATGTGACTAACGTTTGTTGTTTTTCAGTAGACTTTTGTGTTATACTTTCTGGTTGGCTCTGGCTGTCGTCGTTGCTTATTTTATCGTCTTCGTTACTGGAATAGGTCGATTTCGGCTCGGATATATCGTTCGAAGTCGTATCAGTGAGCTCTACAGGAGATGCGGGTTCTTTTTTAGGCAAGGCCTCCAATTTTTCCTCATCTTCTTCTTCATCCTTTGTATCTTTGTTGTCTGTCAACTCAGACGATTTTGAATTTTCCTCTTCAGTTTCTACTTTCACTTCTGAGGCAGGGGTGGAAATTTCTGTTTTTTCTTCCTCCTGGATTTCCTTCACTTGTTCACTTGAGACTTGTTTATTTTCACCTTCGATGTTGATTTCTGCAGCTTCTTCTTCCACTTCTTCTTCAGGCTCAAGCAATTTCTCTTTCTGTGCACTACTAAATGTAATACTTTCTTCGTCAACAATACTGTCAACTTCAGCCTAAAAATAATAATATATTTGAATAACAAAAAAACTTGTGTGTTACAAGAGGGAAATTGCAAAAATGTAATAACTTACAACAGAATCAGGTTTTACATCCTCAGATTTACTAGAGTCATCATTATTCGTCTCAGAAGAAGTATCATGACGGACAGCTATGACCTGAAATAAATTCCGATCTCAGATGGTATATTTCATTTTGCCATTAAAATCTTTTACCGGTCCTTGATTTGGTCCCATTACGATCAATTCAACAGCATCATGATCAAGATCGAGGCAGTCAAGTTGATCATCGAGAGTCTCGGATTCAATAGTCTGATTCAAATCGATTTCACATATTTCCGACGATTCACCGACTGTTTCAATAATGGCCTCTTCTACTTTTTCTATTATCTGCTCGACGGTGACTATCACTTCCTCTTCAGTACCGACTGTGGCCAATTGCTGAGGGGGGAAAATCAATGTGAGCAAAAGTAGTACAACAGTAGTACACAGACCTGTAAACCTACCTCCATGTCCAATCTTCTTGGAATTGGTCTCTTTCTATCATTTTCTTTATGTTCTACTTGTTCTATGATTATTTCTGATTCAACAACGCCTACAAACGGCAATTTTAGTATACAAAAAATTAAAACATGTTTCATTTAAAAAAAATCATACTTTCAATAATATCGTCCATGACATTTTTTGATTCTGTCATTTCAATGTCTGGTTCATTTTGTGCCAAAGTCACGCTCTGTACATTTACTTCTGGCAATTTCTCTCTTGCTACTACTTTTGTCGGTGTCGATAGAAGAGTTTCCAATGGTGTTGAAAGTGTATGAACAGGATTTTCTGTAAACGGAAACATAAAGAAATAAACTCCTGTAAAATTTGGTATAAAATTTAATATTATTATCTTACCAGAAGAAGGATATTTAACAGGTGGAGTGGATGAGCTAATGGGACTTTGTGAAATTAGAGAGCTCGTCGATGGCTGAGGTAGGCTAATAGACGAAGACTCTAGCAATTTCGTTAAAGTAGGAGAATCTGAAATTTGAAAGTGTACAGTAAAAAAAACAACTATCAAATATGCTCAAATGAGCAAATAAAAAACAACAATACGCCCATATATATTCACATTTAAAATATTCTATATAATAACATTCTAACAAAATTTATAGTTTGGCCGTTTCGAATCATTTTGGTCTTCCTATCCTAGCTGTTTTGCATACGTCTGGATCAGGTAAAACATTAAAACAGAACCACAACCGAAGATGGCAAGAAGCTGAATGCATCTGATAGACTAAAACAGTAAAAATCCAAAATCCAGGGCCAAAATGATCAGAAATGACAGGTACACCCTCTCAATCACCACGAGGAAAAATATATAGGTACACTTCAGATCTTTTTTTGCTACAAAACAAAGATTAATTAAGTATATTAGAACTTTTCTACCAATTATAAAAAAAATTATTGAAATATTATATTTAACAATAAAAGACATCTAATGAAATAACCAGGAAAAATAGAAGAAAATATATTTATTACAAAAATGATATTATTATTATTATCATTTATTTCATTATCTTGAATATTGTAAAAATATGCTGTTTAAATGATGTGATTTTTCTGGTTGTATACGAGTAAGCTTAAAATTTAAAAACATATGTATTTAACATAACTTAGAACCTAAGTATTTCCCTCATTTTCATATTTTGCTTTTACTGTACATTTTTTATATCCATCATAATTGTAAATTATTACTATTAATATTTACCTTTTGAAGGCACCGGCGGTGAAGAGTTTAACAATAAAGATATCGTGGGTGATGCTGTCGATGGCATTGAGGGACGAGTTAAAGGCGAAGGACTTTGAAGGAGGCTCGTCAGCAAAGGCGATGTTGTGACAGATTTCGCCGGCTCCGTGTGAGGAGTTTCGTTCAACACCCTTGTTTCGCCTTCTTTTTTAACTTCTAAATCTAAATTTTTCTCCCCTATTTTAAACTTAAGTTTCATTTTTATCTCTTTCTCCCTTTCCTTCGCTTCAATCGTCCTATACAAAATAATAATAATAATAATAATATTAAATAATAATAATATTATGAATAAATATTTTTTTGTTTTTGTTTGTATGTTTGCACTCACCCGATCATCTCTTCCAGCCTGTGATCGAGCCGGCCGGCCAGAATTTCCTCACGTTCTTTGAACAATTTAGCATACTGAGCCTGCTCCTCAGCCAATTTTTTACTATATTCTGTAATTAATTCTGAAAGGGAAAAATTAATGTAAAAAGCCTAATAATATAAACATAATTATTCAAAGTGAGAAAAATAAATCCACCTTGTTTCAAACTTTGAACCAGGCTTTCTTGCAAATTGTCTCCATATTCGACAGCTTTATCTGTTCTTCTTTTTTTTCTCGGTACATTTTTCAAGAGATTTTCGTACTGCCAGAGGCACTGTTTTTCAATGAACCAATCACTCGGCCTCTTCTCTTCATTAATGTATCCTGCAATATCTTCATATACATTTTTCGTCTTAAAACTGATATTTCCCCTGCAAACAAAATACATAAATAAATAAAACTAAAATTGTTACCAACAGATGACGACTATGAACACTTTCAACTCAACTATCTTTTTGGTATTTTTTTTTTTTTTTATAAATTTCAGTTTTCATTCTCACTCATTACTAAAAAGGATTTACATTTGACTAACTTTTTCAGGTGTCAAGGATGAGAGAATAAAAAATTCCAGGGAAACTGTCAGAAATCAAACCTGTGATAAATTGACACCCGAACCACTGGGCACCTGCTATCCTTCAACTGACATCCGTTAAGTATACATAGTAATAAAATAAACAAATACTAAAATCTGTCAAGAGCCAAAGCACAGTTTGGAGTTCTACACTTTTAGCCTCTAGATTATTTCAGCTTAAGAAAAGAAAATCAGGACAAACAATATCAATAACATATCGAAAACCAACAGGAGAGGGTTTGATATCCCACCTCAACATGGTTGTATGCTTGCCTGGTCACCAAAAGTGGCAAACCAAAAGGTATCTGACAAATCAATAAAAAATAATACTAATTACTTAAACTAATTAATATTAATTGAATATGTATTTTTAGTTTAATACTCTACATTAATAGATTACTCAATGAATATAATATTTATTTAGAAATCGTGAGATGCGGTCTGGTGTGATGTAGGTTTCAGAAAAACTCTCGACACGACACGCAAGAATGGCACAATTACACAGAAGACAAACACTTTGAGCCCTGAAGATGATCTCAATAAAGATCGAAACGTTGGCACGATAAAGAAAATGTTTTTCTNGCCCTGAAGATGATCTCAATAAAGATCGAAACATTGGCACGATAAAGAAAATGTTTTTCTGAAACCTACATCACACCAGACCGCATCTCACGATTTCTAAATAAATATTGATTAACAGTCACTAATCACCACACATTTCCACACAATGAATATAATTTTTATTTTGGGACTTTTAATTTGTTTATTAATGTATTGAGCAATTCAACTGCAAAATCATAGAAAAAAGTGGTTACAGTTTTGCTTATCAAAAATAACTTTGGGGTTTTGAAGTCTTTTGTGAAATATCTTATTTGTACTTTTCTCCCTATCCTCACAGGTTTGGTCAATTTGCCTCACCCTGTATTTATCTCTGATTAATCAAACAACTTTTATATTAATCTTCAGTGGTGGGTTTTTGTTTAAAAACTGTATTTCATATGACTAGCTGTTGTTGGTGGAGCATGACCATAATTTGTATTTTTGGTTTATATTGTCAAAGCATTATTCGAATTAAATAAATTATGAATGTTTGTTTGTTAGGAAAGAAATTTCAAAAATATTAAGCTAAAAAAAGTTTTAATGATTTAATCCTTTAAGTCCATTGAAATTGAGCAAAATAATAACAGCAAAGGGAAAATATATACAAAAACAATGCAAATATAGTATGACTAAAGCTTGCTCTGAAATAGGCAAAAAATTAACTTACCAACAAAAAACTAACTAGTAGAAAACAATAAAACCACTCTTTATCTCCCTTTCACCTTTCACAAGGGTAGAAAATAAGTTTTATGACACACAAATTCTAAAAGTCTAGCTAAAACGCTTCTGACAGACTTTGCCAGCAAGGAAAGTCATACCAGAATGATTGAAGATTATCAAATTACATGTTAGTTACCCAGGCAGACCTTAGAATAATTTGCTTAGTCAGGGGTTTAAGCACCATTTGAAAAAAAGTCAATTAAAAAGTAAATAAACAAATAAATAATAATAAATATACTCTTCTCAGCAAATAAGGAAAGAATATTATTATTTCAACTCTACAGCAACATATTTTCACGTTCAAAAATATAATACGACAAAAAAGTCAGTCAAAATTGATAATTCAGTTGTTTTCAATCTTTATGGTTTTACCTATTCTTGATAGTTTCCGTCTGTCAAACATGTTTTGGTTGGTTTGGATTATAAGCAGGGTTAAGCATAAATAAAGACTCATTACTGAAGACGCTGAGAAGCTGAAATACGTCTGAAATAGCAAAAAAGGATAGGTATATCAAGATGATTAAAAATGGCCAAACTACTTCTTCACCTTGCATACCTCAAGAACAAATCTCACAACACTTTATTTGAAGTATCAACATGCGAAGAGTGATGCCAAAGTGTGTCTGACATACAAAACCAGTCAGAATGACTGGGGTGATCATAAACAACCAAACTAGAGGTGCGCTGCATTGTAGATTCCAAGAAAAAAATACTGCAATATTTTATTTATAGTGAACTTGACGAACATTCATCCTGGTTTGCTTATTTCATCACATTGAGTTGTTCATCTGCATTCTTCAACCATAGGTCATAGGGCAAAATGTCAAAGCACATGTAAACAAAGCCAGAAATAATGACAGACTAGGGTGATTATAAACAACCAAATTGTAGGTTCATCATAACGTAGATTTAGAAAAATCAACCATTGACTCCAATCATCTTGACCTGTTTATTTTACCAGTAGTAGTGCCAGTCTGAGTAGCTCTCAGCACAAAATGTCAAAGCATGTCTAGTAGAGAAAAACCATCGAGACTGTCAGTCTAAGAACTTATACAACATACTACAAGTTCATCACTCTCAAGACATCAAACAAAAATTCCAAAATACATTATTTATAGCCTGATCATCATGGTCTGTTTATTTTACCAGCATGAGCTGTCAATCAGTATCTCTTGACTAAATATCGCAGGGCTAATTACCAAAGTGCTTCTTACAAAGCCCAACAAACATGACGGACCATGGTGATCATAAACAACCAAACTATAGGTTTATGATACTTTAGAGACCAAGGAGAACTTCACAATACTTTGTTTACAGAATGATCATCTTGGTATATTTATTTCAGCTTGAGTTGTGTATAGCATCCCTAGACCATAACTCAAAGGGCAAAAGTGAAACTTATCACACATACAAATCCAGCAATGACAGACCGTAATGAGATATTAAATATAGATGTTCATCCCCTTGAACACGCCCCACAATGTTTCACAATATTTACTAATTAAACATGATAACTAGCATGTCAAAACGTTTGGTGTATCCTGACAAAATCTTGACGAAATTTACACCAGTTCATAAGTGACTGGCAAAGAGTGGAATAGAACAAGGTAGGAATAAACGATAATTATATACAGTAATTACCAGTTCGGATCCCCTGAATGAGGAATGTGAGAAACGAGTATGTATTTTTCGAGTGTAGTCCAGCTTTCTATATGTCCCCTCTTCATTTCTCCCGATTAAATAAAAAATACACAATATTTGTCAATTTATATTGACGATAAACACTTAAAAAATTGAATTGAAACTCAAAATGTTTGTTTACTGTTTTACTTGAGGTTTTTAGACTGTTAACCGCTAGGTTCGCGTTGTGAAGCATACAGACACCAAGACCGTCTTAATCAATGTCTAATTCGTTAATACAATATTTATTTAGACAATCGTAGTTCAATTGAATTTTCTTTTGTTATTGAACATAATAATAATAATTTATATCCAAAAATAAATATTATTTAAAATTTCCACCACGTAATAACATGAAATTAAACATTTTAAATATATCGTTATGGCATTGGTCTGCATATTGTTTAAGAGCCTTAATTTGCATCATCATTTGCTTAGCTTTTCACACTGGTATGATAGACGCTCGGGCCTCTCCATCATTTGCATCATCATAGTGGTATAATACATATCCACATTAATATAATTAAGTAAAGTCTATTATATTTACATTACACCTTTGAGAGCTACAAAAATAAATAAATTATTAAATATTTATTTACTAGCTGGTACCCGGCCACGCTTAGTTATGGCTCGGTCTATTATGAAATAAATGGGAGGTAAATAAAAGTATTCTAGATAAGGCTAACATAGATTCATAAAACACATCATTTAATCCGGTACCCTGTCTTGCGTTTCGGAGGCTATGTGAAATAAAAAGAAAGAAATTTAAAAAAAATGTTTTTCATACAAAATACCTTTTTTTTTGTAAGCTGATTGATCAGAATTATGCTTCGATTAAATTGTTCATCTTTTTTTTAAACAACGAATGCTGTGCCATTGCATAACTTTGCCTGATTGATGTTTCGGAGTGATATAGTTGGCACTCCAATTTTCAAATCCTGACACATCAAGAGGATGAAGAAATTCATACTTCACTTTGGCTCAGTCAACAGATTTGTATGTCCCTGGTTTTACCTGCGATTCTGTTTAGATTGATGTTGATGTTGAGAACATCGACTTTTTTTATAGCTAAAATGGCTCTTCCGATCAACCATGCGTGATTTCGATAACATGTTTCGAAAACCTTTCCTACTCGTTGTTTTGAATTCACGATTTGAAGAAATTAGATGGGATGCTGGTTTTTCCCGTTTCTGAATCTGTAGGTACAATTAATATGTTAACTGTTGGAAATAGACGATCAACTAGAAACATTTTTTTATAGGCGAACAACATCAACGGTTATCATCGCGCCTTTGTACTACCAGTGATTTATTGGAAATTATCGAAATTTATATAAGTTTATAGAGATTTCTCATTTTTAGGCTCTCTATTAAATAGAAGGGTGACCCTCAATTACATAAGAAATACCATATGTGATTTTTTGGAATCATCAGTGTATATGCATCATCGTTACATTGGTTTAGTTGAAGGAATTTTTGTTTGAACTCTATAGGGGGTTTGTTTCCCGTTTTCGCGTATTTGTAAAAGAAAAATAAAATTTAACTTCTGGAAGTAGCCAGGGCGGGGTTACAGGCTGGGCTATTTTTCGGGCTTGATCTGGATCTACTTTGGGTTGTGAAAAAGATTTATTTACCCGAATAGGAATGGAAAGAAATGAATTAAATTTTCGAAAACACGCGCCTATTCGAATGAAAAGGAGTGTCAGTCATTAGAATTTCGAGTCAATCGGCCGGCTTCTTTTCGAATTTTGCGAGCACAACATACGCACACTGGATTTTTATACACTCATGAACAAAATTACCACCACCCTTAAATTTTAATGTATTTAAGTTTATTCACATTTTGCTTGCCAAAAATAGGTTTGGTTTGGCATAAGAGAAAAATAAGACGTTTAAAAATAAAATGTTTATTACCTAATTCTAAAAAACATTAAGTAAAGAAAGAAAGTAAAAACCAATAAAAATGTAAGAAAAATATATTTATATACAATATGTAATTTATATACAATTTAAGTTCATTTTTGGGTGTTTTTAATAGAACATAGCGTTGCATTAAGTAATATAGGATAACAATAATTTATGCTATTCTATATTATATATATAATCCATTTATGTTTAGTTGTCTAATTGACTATATTAATTATTTCAATTAATTATTCTTTTTATTTAAGGTCTTGGTCGAGAATAAAAAGATAGTCACGTGTCAATATATACAAGTTATGTGTGTTGACTAATTGAAAGTCTTTTTAAAAACCTTTATTAGTTATAAACACAACTTACAATTTGAGATGTGATTAGACCTTTCCTGTTCACGGATAAGATTAATCTAATTTTGTCTTTACAAATGTAATGGGAATAGTGAACAGGGAAAGGCTTTTGCTTACAACACATTCCCTGAATCTGTACAGTGGCAACATCATCTGTCGCTGAATTAACGGTTTTGTGCAGGTGTAATTCCTCCATGCCCAAATAAAGCTCCCGGGGTGGCTGATTGATAGGGGTTGCAATGGCCAAGCGTCGTCTCCACTGGCGATACCATGTGAAGACTCCATAAGCTGAGGCTTTGAGTGAATGTATTTATTAGAATGCATGTGAGATGTGGGAGGAATGAACGAGGAGTGAATGTGTGGAATATCAAGTACCCCATCTACCTTTACGTTGTATGTTAAGTTGTATTGTAGGTAAGTTGTATAATATGTGTAATAGTTGATAATACGATGAAGGACTTAGAATTTCTATAATTATAATTATAAACTTGTACAATTTTTGTTTAATGTTTTTTTGAAACATCTGTGTTTAATTTGAAGAACATTTACACAACTCAACAAACAATAAACTTTAGCCTTATCCTTCAGAATTGCAAAGGCAAAACTATGGAATTTGCTTACTCGGGAAGTTCGTTCTGCTTCCTCGCTGGCTTGTTTCAGTTCCATGGTGTCTGAGTTTTTAAAAATGACAAGATTCTCCTTTTCTTTCCTCTTCATTTCCTTTCATTTTGTTTCTCTTTAAGTTTTTCTTTCATAATGTGGTTTCATCACTCACTTATAAATAATTAACATTTTAAAAAATATATTATTATTTTGCATATTTTGTTATTTTATTATTATTATTTTTTACAATATTTATAAAACTAAATTTATTTCCAAGATATATACATGTAACAGGACTTTAAGTGCTATTTGTGCCTTTAAAATAAAATAAACTCAGCAAATGGACCTCAGTCCATGCTTTGCGTAATTTATAAAAATTTGAAAATTATGCTGAATACATTTATTATTATCATAAATTGAATTAATAAAAAAAGTAACTTATAAATGTTAAATTTAGAACTCATACATACTCATATTTAAATTTGTATTTGCTCTGAAAAGATCTGACAGACTCTCCTTAAATCAATTTCACAGCTAATTAATAAAGTTATACATTATTGTCTTAATTAGGAAAACAATAAATACATTAAATATATTTATTAAACAATAAAGAAAAAATTGTTCTAAACTTTATCACGAGTCAAGAAAAATTGTATTAATATGACCAAGAAAGTAGCAGCATGTCCTGCCATCTGAAACAAAAATTTAATGAATTTTAGATTTGTTAAATATTGTTAATTAATGATAGTGTATATATTTTGTGACGTACAGTTTGCATCAAAGAATAATCCAATGAAAAAAATCCAGAAGCTGAAAATGTTATTTTATTTTTCATCAGTAGATGAAGAAATATTTTTTCCTGAAAGAAATATACTGTAGTAATATAATACTGCAAGTAATATACTAAATACGTAATAAATACATAAAATACAATTAATTTACATCTCTTGAAGTGTCTCCAGTGTGGTCCATTTGTGTCAGCTTATGAATAGCTACATTAAATCTTTCGGCCTTTTTTAACAATAGAAAATAAAATGTAATGGTTTGCATTTTAGAATGGGTTTGATTTTGAAATCCTACCTCGGTAGAAGCTCTTTCTGACGAACTCACGACCGCCCATAGGCCTAAAAACCTGCATGACGAAATAGCGACAAAAGTCAGTATTTCCATTATGTCAGAAGTTCCCGAGACTACCGTGTAAAACATGTGAGATGTGGACACCAAAAATACATAGGTTACGCTGATGCAACTGAAAGGGCCAAAGACCTCATTGAAATTTCTTCCAATTTTATGCAATTTCAGATGTACTATAGCCAACTGTTGTACTTTAAATACTGATAAGGGGAAATGGATTCTGGAAATAGTTTCTTCCAAAATTTGAGTGGTGAAAATGTAATGGTCACCAAGAGATTTCACGAAACAATACCACTGGCAATCTGCGACATGTATCATTAGAAGTGGCAAATATACCGCCACTAGTTCTATCACTCCCTCCGGTGTAAAATACATAAAGTCCAGTATAAAGATTACCGGTATGCAGCCCAAAAGCAACATTATCATCCAGTTGTGATTTTTACTGTTGTAATAAAAAGTGAAGCCATTATTATGAAGCATGCGGTCGACATTCCTCAAATTTTTCATCTCGTTTAATATCTTTTTTTGATTAAATACACAAATTCTAACTGCAGTCAAATATGCTGCATAGCCAATTACATGATTTGATATGCTAAGGTATAGAAATATTTTTGACATTTTATACCAATCTGGAGATATTTGTTTCAAAGAGCAGACTACGAAAACTCCATAAATCAAATTGAAAATGGGCAAAATGCAACTATATATCTGAAGAGCTATTCTTGTAGTTTCATTTTTTGAATGGGGATTCAGGCCGACAACTTTCAATACTACAAGTACCAACTTGAAAGCATTGTACAAGTCTCTTTCACCATTAACATATCCCTGGCCGAACATGACTGACTAAAATTGGTTAACAGCCATCTATAGATCTAGATCTGGAATATTGAGCCCTGAAGATCCATGCAAAAAGATAAGATTATATGTTATGAATTCTAATTAAAAGGCAGGTGGTAAATGTAATAATCTCAAATTGAAAAGCATAATTCAGTTTTATTTTAAAGTAACAATCGTTGTTAAATGTACTATAGAGAAACAAATTCCTGCACTGCACTAATTTTATTGATTGTACCATAAGGTTAAGAAGTACCTCAAATAGACATGTTTATGTTTAAAAGACCAAAAAACAGTTTATTTTAAATTAATGAAATTAACAAAATTTCAAAAACCTTTTGACAATAGAAAATAGAATTTTAAATAATTCTAATTAAGTTACATAAATTTATTTTAATATATATTAATTATCCATTCATGCTCAGTAGTCATAATTGACCATATTAATTTTTTAAATTAATTATTCTTTTTACATAAGGTCCGGTTCAGATGAAAAAGTTAGTGTAATGAGTGAGATGCAAACCCATGATCTTCAGCTCAATACGCCGCTGCTCTGATCACTTGAACATTGAGACATCGAGCGGGATACTAACTTTTTCATCTCAACCAAGACTTACGTAAAAATAATAATGAATTGAAAATATTAATTATGTTTAACCTCACACATGCTAAGAAAGATGATTTACAGTAAACCCAAGAAAAATGTAAATTAACATTAAGCTTTAAGCTAATATTTTAAATAATTACATAAAATTAATTTTAATATTTTCGTATGTACTAATTTAAAAAAAAAAACATTGTTTAATTACAATATATTATCAATAATTACACATATCCCATATTATCATAATCTGAAACAAAAAAAGTCAAGTAATTTATAAAGTAAAGAAATTATTTACAAAATTGTCATACAACCTTTGAAAAATTGTTCTTTGCTCAGAACAACTTGATACCAATCTCGTACTTGATTCATATCCAAAGTCCCGCCCATGTGAGGAAGAAGAAGCGATGGGTTTATTTGTGCATGTAATGATTTATAAGGGGCCTTGTGCCAGTTTAACTAAAAAGTTTTATTTTAGTCAAAACAAATTAAATAAATGCAAAATGTTTTTAGCATTTTGAAATGTGAATGAAGTTGCAACATTTTAAAACTTGGGCTTACCTTTCTTACAAATCCTTCTTTCATAAACGGTTTCAAAGCGCAGAAAAATACGTTAAAAACTAAAGGCGCGTTTACGATATGAAAAACATCAAACTTCAAAGGTATACAATCCTAAACAATTCAATTTCAAATGACTTGGGAAAAGTATATAATATGAGAGAAATTACCTGGAGAAATTTCATAATGACTTTCAATTTTGGTGGGGTTGCCCATCTCATAATTTTAAGAGAGAAGTTGGTGCAGTCGAAAATCAGATTTACTCCTGAGTCTTGGTTTTCTGGATCAGCAGATAATGATTCAAGGGTTATTGTTGCTGCCTGCATTAATAGTGGCCAACTTTCATTGCTTGGGTCAATATCACCTTAAAACATTTTTAATAATTTAATAAATTCAAAAAAAGTTATTAATGTTTTTTTTTTAATACCAAGTCTTAATAGCAAAATTGGTCTTCCTTTGTAATCTTTTTCATGAAGAACAAAACCTAGGTCCAGCCTTGAAATAACGCTCTCATAAAAGATTGGTTGTTTAAACTTAAACTCATCCGGATGGTCTTGCTTTGCTTTAAAATAATCCTTAATCTAAAATTTATATAAAAACAATAATCAAAATTTAAAAAAATTGTGCATAAAAAATAGCAAGAATGTATTAATATTGCAAGTGAAAAATACATACGAGCATATAAGAAGCCTGTACATCATAGTTACTTGCTTTTATGAATCTGAGTAAAAACTCACCATCTGTGCTGCATTTCAAATTATATTCCCCTGTTAATAAACAATAAAATATTATTGACAATTTAACTAGCAATAGATTTAGAAAATTACCTTTAATGAGAATTCTGACTGAATCAATTATGGTCAAAATTTCGTCGTTTGGTTTCGATCTGTTGAGGACCATTTTGAATGAGCACTATGAATAGCAAATAGGTACTGGTCATCAACCTATCTCACACTATCTATTGGCATAAAAAAATTGTATTTTAATTTTATTCATTCGTACTATAATCTATTTTATCTAAACAAGGAAGTGGTTTTTTTTGTTTTATTTCTTGCGTTATAAAAATTTATTCTGTTAAACAATTTATTGACTAACCATTTATTGAAATAATTGTTTCACAGTTTCACAATTTCAATGATTTTATATTTTATGAATATCTTTTTCTTCCTAGGCTTTACATATAAGCATAAATATATTAAAAATTGAAGAAATAAAAAACTCATTTATGGTTCAAAAAGTGGAATCTGTCTTCTGATAATGTATATTAAATCAGGAATATGGTGAATTTGAAAGATTTGATAGAAAGAAAAACACTCAGTTTGTCAAGCTTTTGAGAAACATATACTCTTCATCGGACTTAGAAACTGTTTTTAATTATTTACACAGATAAAAAATATAAACTTTTACTTACAATATTAAAAATTATTGATCCAACCATAATTTCTCAGTTTAGCATTTTTAACCCTGTTACAATTATAATGTAGAATGGATGGGTGGTCTACTCTATTAAGTTAAACTCATAAATCCTTATGATTGAAGTCATATTGTTAGTATTGTGAGTAAATGTTTATATTTGTTAGTGGTGTAAATGAGTAAAAATGGTTTCTAAGTCCCGATGAAGTGGATATATTCCTCAAATGCTTGACAAACTGTGTGTTTTTCTTTCTATCAAATTTGCCTTACCTCTGATTTTTTATAATCAATCATAATATTTTGGCTGTTATAAATAAAATCAAGATAATTTTCTAGTAAATTTAGGTTTAAAAAAAGTAATAAAAATAAAATAAAAAGATTGCATCTCCCAGGTAACAGTAATCCTGATGTCTTTCTTAATATTTTGTATACCATTTACTATTATTACCAATTTACACAGTCCTAAACATAAACATAGAATTGTGAGTTACCATTAAAGTTTATAAGGATTTGTAGTTTGGTCATTTCTGACCGTTATGGTCTGCCTATCCTCGGTGTTATGTTCTTTAAGATCTGCTACGGTTATTGCTATTTTTAATGATGGGTTTGGTAAAATCCCAGTGGGGATGTTTGAAAACAACCAAATTTCATTTTTTAGGTTTATTGCTTTGTAGACCTGAAGATGTTTTCTCATGATTCTACTGAAACTGATCAACTTTTGATTTGCAAACCTTTGAATGTTGGTTCTTCACATCACCAATAGCAAATCTAGATAGTAATAGTCTAGATAGTATTATTATTGTTGCACCTTGAGATGTTTGTTATTTATCTCATGTGGGGATGCTTCTACAACTAACAGTTTGGCTTATGACCAGACCATGGTAGTGGTGGAGCTGAGGGCGATGTGGTGTCCTAGTTATGCTGTTTTATGCATACACATACTATTTTTTATAGCCATCTTTATGCCATACATTTTTTGTTTTATCTTTTGATTTAACTCTTTTCAAAATATTGAATGTTTTTCAGTCTAGTATTTTCTCTGATAAATCAGATATAGTTTTAGCTAGTCAATTATTTTAATTTTGTTGAAAATTTTGACCGATGAATCTCAATTTCTCAATTGCTGCATTCCCTTCCAACATGTGTGGATAAAGGAGTACATGTTCCATTGCTGCTGAGGGTGTTGCTTAAAAAGCCCCAGAGATGGTGCTAAAGCATGCGATTCTTTAGACTTTTTCTTGTAGTTCCTCTGCCTTTCTTTGCTCCATTTTATGCCATATATAAGTTGGATGTGTGATCATGAGTCTGAAAATTGTAAGGTATGAAAATAATAATATTGCCAAATACTTTCATTTCTGAACAGGTCCCCTTTCTTATTTTACTTATTTTGTTCTGGAGATGTCGTTTCATATGCACACATTATTCTGGATGACTCAATCAGAAGGTGCTGTTCTCTTTGTTTGTAATTTTGAACTCTGATAATGTGGTTGTGGCCATTATTTTCATGTCAATCGGTGCTTTAACTTCAAACGAGGGAACAAGAAATTTAGAGAACTATAGTGAACGTCAAAAAGGATCTGAAAAGTTTGAACTGAATATAATTAAAAAAAGAGGTTTTCTTGACCTTGAAAAGGATTTAATGTTTAATGAGAAAACTGGTATAACGTAAGTGAATCAAAGTGTATTTCTATTTTTCATGATTGATCACAAACCATTTTAAAATAACGTTTTTGTAATGTACAAACTGAAAAAGAAACCAACTTCATTGTAAGTTAATTATATGATAAATTTCTTTAAAAAATTATTCTATTTTAATTTTTAGAGTATATATTATATTTATAAACATACAATATACAAAAGTAACACAATTCAATTATAAAACCAGCTTAATTCTCCATTTTGTACTACTGCATAAAAGTAGTTTTGGGAGATATTCAGCTTTTACATTTTTTAAATAAGCATTTCATAAATTTAAGCTAACAATGTTTCTTTTAAAGCTCTACAAATAATATTGTGCTAAATAATCATAACTTTTCCTTTATGGATAGACATTCAATGCCATAAACAAACAATACTTCTTAAGGATAAGATTTGATTATAAAGAAATTATACATAGTCAAAAATTATACATCCTGCAAATCACTACTTCACAGCTTTGAATTTTTCTATTAGTGACCAGTCTATTAAAAAAAAAAAAAAATTAAAAAATCTTACAAATTAACTTCTTGAACATATGCTATGGAAAAGGTTGGCTATGAACGCTTTAGAATTAACTAAAGAAGTTACAATTAAATATCTTTCAATGTGCGTACAGTGTTATTTACAAATTACACATTTGTTTAGTTCACCAATTTACTTAATAATGTGTTTATTATAACAAAAGTGGTTTACTTTGATGAATACACTGAGAAAAAATAATAATAAAGAGAATATTTTAGGCTTCAACCTACAACTTTGTGATTTCTGAATGTGCTTTTTCATCCATTGTTTTGGCAAAGTTTGCTTGTACTTCATTATTAACAAAAATTTAGGTGACAATTGAATTAATATTTACAACTAGACCATTTTTCACTTAGTTTTTGCACACTAGATGATATGAACACAATCCACATCATTTGTGCTTTCATTAAAAAAATTTAAAAAAGGATTAGAAAGGTTTTAATAAACCGTGTATTTCTTTCTTGTGGATAATAAATTTTTTTGGTAGGTTTCTCCATTGGGCCATCTGATATTAACAAATTATTAATTTGTTTAACATTAGATTCAATTTCTTTTTTGTTACATATTGTCTTTTTGTTTAGTAAAATATTTTGGTATCTAAATATCATGGTAAACAAGTGAAAATCTCAAGTAAATGTTATAGAATGTATATAGAATACAATATGTAACAGAACATTTTTTCTTTTTACATTTCTTGTATAAAAAAAAACCCTTATGATTTTTAATTTCCAAACTCACTGCTTCAGTAATTTATTTTTTATCACAAAATATTTGCTGGATATGTCCAATTCTAATAATTGATTTTTTAAAATAGATTTTTATACAAAGTGTGATAAATGTGTTTATCAAAATATTGGGAAAGATTGGTCGTAATTTTTACAGACCATCTTTCTAATTTTTTTTTTGTTAGTTTAAATGTTTCTCGTTGAATTAGTATTACTAGAGTATTTTTGTTACGTTAAAGATAAGCTCAAGAATTGTGATTAGTTTCTGTACATATCATATTTGTATTAAAAAATTAATTATTAACTAAAATTCTGAATATCTTAAAATTTAGAAAGTTTAAGAATCAAAAGTCCTACTAATTTGTTACTTAATAACTGTTGGTTAAGGAGCTTTGTATTTTTGCAATATTTCAATAAATTTGTTAAAAAATACAATAACCATAACGGTAAATACATCCATTCGTGAAAATTTTAAGTTGATTGACACCTAAAAACATTAAATTAAGTACAGATTTTAAATTTGTTAATATGAAGTATATAATGTAAATCATCAACGCCATCACATTATAACACACCATGATAAATTACTGAGAGTGTGAGCTTGAAAATTGCAATACATTTTGAGCAGTTCAAAAGCAACAAACCAAAGACTAATTTCAACATATAACAAAACGAAGGTAACTTATTTCACTACACGGAATCACAATTTTATTAATATTTTTATCCCCCATTTATTGTTTCCATTAATAATTTTTAATCTCCTAATATAATATATATTTTCTTTTGCCTTGGGCCAACATCTTTAAGCACTTCTCTAGACATTTTGAATGCGTTTTAAACTATGAAAACTGCACTTACTAATCTTATAGGAAAATACTAATACTGTTCTCTGTTGAACAATAGATTGCCAGACACTACTAATGAATGTCTACTGAAAGAGATTAACTGAAAATAAATAGTAATAAAAATAATATTTACTTACAGTAGTAATATAGATTATGTTTTTTTTATTGAGTTTTATTTTATTTAAATTGGCACTATAAAATTAGTGTGTTACGCATCTTTTTGAATGCATGGCACTTATATTGCAACGCATTTTATTATAAACTTATGTATTATACCTTTGCGGGATATGAAGATGATATGATTGATGACTTGGGTACATTCTGATATGAAATAATATCAATGGGTATTTTATTTTAGTTTTTTGAATATGAGAGGTGATATGTTGTGAATAAAGCACTACTAGACACTGAACAATATTGGAAAGATTTATGGCAGTTTTTTTAACTTACAAAGTTAACAACAAAGAATCAAAGCATGGAAAGGGATGTTTCCCTTTCGATATTTTGACTAAGCATTTAGACAGTAATTCTTCTCTTTAAAAAACTTCAATTCTTCCTTTCACATTTAAAAACAAAATGAAACATTAGCCATTTATGCAAAAAAATAATTTCACCATTCACTCAAAGATGCTGTCAAGCTCTTGCATGACCTTGCATAACGGCATCGTCAGCTTTTTGCTAAATGCCACAAGAAACACTTTATGATACAATTTTTTTAATTCTTATTATGAAGTAAATGTGTCCCATAGAAAATATCCTGTATAAGATCTATTGTCACACATTACAAGAGACTTACTTAACATTAATTGACAAATGTCATCTAAAGACTACAAAACAAATTTTCATCTAAACACCAGTGAAATGAGTATGTAGCACACAGTTTGTAATTTTTTTTTAAACATGGCGTGCTTGTTAATGTCAAACAATAATACAACTAAAAATACATGAATAAGGATAACACACTAGATGTTATTCTTTGCAACAAATGATGACACATATATGATATTTTGGTTTAACCTAAAACAAGAAAAAAAAAGAGGATGTTAAAATGTTGAATTATAATCCTTAAAAGTAGACATCGGTACATCCCTCATTATTAAACAGTCTAAAATGTCACAATTAAACAAAAACAAAAGTGTAAAAAAAAGCGTCTTTGAATTTCCGTGGGTGCTGGGTACTTGCTCCCATTCGGATGATACCCTGCAGGGCTCCTCACCAACCTCTAAAACCACAAAACCACATTTAAGTCAAATATTCATAAAAAAAAAAGTCACTAGTGACACTGTTACTCACCTAAACAAACCATTCATCTTTTTGGTTTGAGGAGACATCGCTACAATAAACAAACAACTTTAAATGACACAAACAACATATTTAATTTGAAAAAACAAAAACAAAAAACTAATGGGACTTAGTGAAATAATAATTGGTTAATAAGTGGCAAAATGGATTTTGAAAAATAATTTAGAAGTTTAACTTTACAATCAACCTGTAAAAGTGATTATAAATGCTAATGTCATCATTATTTTGACATATTTAACTTACTAAGTTACTTTATAATTGAAGGATTAAAAATCTTATTTTTGATCAAATTTTTTTTGTTAATACAATAATGAGTTTAATTTGTAACATATCAATACTTATATCCTCAAGTAATAAATAATTTATCAATATGATTTATATGTTTATTGATAGGAGATGAATGCAAATTACCTATCAGAAGGAGCGGTGCTCACTTTGCCTGGCAGTAGAGGCGGGCCCGGAGTGATCCGCTGTACCCGAGCCCCGCAGGGGGTAGCAAGTTTTCCGGAAGCTTCCTTCCACCTGCTCCGTTGGCACCGGTCGAGCTCAGCTCTGCAACTACAGGCACGCAATCAGCTGGACAACCGAGGTAGGCATCAGCCACATCCATAACAATTATTATAAAGCATATTTTTATGACACCAATGAATAGAAAATGGGGGGGGGCATGCATTTTAACATAGCTGTTGAGGGGGTAAACTGTACTTGGCTTTCTGTCTTCCAGTTTCCACAATTATTTTATCAATAATTATATTGTTTAAATAATGCATTCTTTTTTATGTTTAATTAACAAAATGAATATGAATGATATCTTGGCTATGGTTTTAAATCGTTAATTTCATTATTAGCTAAATATTGCCCAATACAATGCAAAAATTGTATCTAATAAAAATATGAGAAATGACAACAAGTAGTATTTTTGAATGGAATTTCGGGGACATTGCTAAGAAGTCACTTATATTGATGCTTCAAGAATCATTTGTCAGGTTGTAGATCTTCACATTATAATTATTTTATATTTAAATAAAATAAATGAAAAACCAATAATTGCAGCACTTAATGTAAAATAATATCAAAGAAACGAATTAATCGGGTCCTCAAAAAAATTAAATTATTTATCGGAGCGCAGGACTGAATTGTTAGCCCCCCACTAGTTAGCAGCCCTCGTCTAGAAACTAAGTAAAGTTTGTTTGGATGAACAAATAGGAAAATAAGTGTGTAGTATGTACGAGGGATGAAAAATGGTACAAGAGGTGAGAGAGAGAATAGGGCCGAATGGCGGACGCTGGTTTTTCGTGCATTATCTGATGTGTCTCCGCTTTTTGTCATGTTTATGCTATTCCAGTTGACCACTTTATGTAGCACGCGTTTCAAGAGGAATATGAGAGAAAATAACGAAAAGCGTCCAACAAACCGGGCATTTGTACAAACAATGACAGCACAAACCGACGAACGCAGTTCAAATTGAAATCCGGTAAAATAAGCAACGGTTTTAAACCCGACAGATAAAGTCCAGCAGTTATTGATTTTTTCATTGTTCATCCAGCAAGGTTAATGATTGCCTTTTATTTATACCCATGGAACCACCGAGGTCTCCTAGATAGTTATTTCCGTTTTTACCATATTCATTGATGGATTTATTGTCCTGCCTCACCCTGCTTATAACCAACCTTGTATACTTAATCAAATATTTTCGTTATGAGATTTGTCCGTGAGGTCTGCGGGGTGATTGCCTCGCCTCGACCGTCACTTGAGAAACCAACAAAATGAAACTCGAGTCATTCCTAAACAACTAGGAAAGGCAAGTCAGGACAAAAAGAAACCATCAATCTACAGGTTCTTCACCCTTCAGACCTAAGGAGAAATCATTTAGCCTTTAATGACCTTTCAATACTACAGCTATAAGAAGAATATATTGGTAAGTCAAAGTTATAAGCAGCGTGAGGCATGATAACAAACCAAAGTAAGAGCATGGCGACGACGAAACATCACTCCAGAGACCCCAGGAAAAATATCTGTGAAAATATATAAAATTATTTAGGGAAAAACGAAAAATGGAAAATCGAACTATATTATACACCTTACAAAAACGACCACTAACCCTTCACCATGTACAAATAAAGTAGAGTAATTCCTGTTATACAGTGGCTTTTACATCCGACTACTCATTGGGCATCGCGAACTTTATAAATATTTTTTTCATATTATTCTCAATTAATAAGCCATGATCTATGGTGGGATTCGAACCCAGAACCGCTAGCGTGGCAAATACGAGTCGGACGCCCGACCACTCGGCACCTTGGTCACTAATTTCACAATTTTTGCCAAAAGGTTGCTTTTTTTTGTTAGATTGTACATTTCATGAGCCAAATTAGTATGGTAACACGACTCGAATAGAATGTATAAATTGAACATGAATTGATTTTAAAGTAAAATCAATTTTATAAAAAACTAGATCCAATTTTTGAAAAACATTACAGCCTATAGTCTCTTACAATGTCAAAATAAGTAGAAGAAACCAATGGAAGGGAAAATATTATGCCTAAATTAAATTAACGGCTTACTTAGCAAATAACGCTGCCTTTAGAGAAACATGACTACAAAACAACCTTTTAAATTACACGACAAGAAAGTTAGTAAAAGGAAATAAAAAAGGACGAAAAAAGAAAAGCTTGATCATTAAAGAGAATTACTTCGAAAGAAAAAGTTTAAAAGTAATGCCCTATTTCTGTTTTAAACAAGCCTTTAAAAGAGCAGAAAGGGTTGTAAAGGCATTCTCTTCCGAGCAATGTTTGCATCGTTCAACCAATTTCGCCTTCAAACACTGCTTTAAGTTCAACTTTTAGTAAATCAGTGGGTCCTTTTAAAACTATGTAGGCTAACAAAATATAAAAATAAACACGCAAACATACAAATTTGTCATTGTCTTTCTCGTCATCCTTGCATGGGCGACCTTCCAATTTCCAGAATGAATACATAACCTAATATTCTGTTATATATATTACACAGGGCGGGCGACCAGGACCCGAGGGGTTAAAAGCCTGAGTAGGCCCGTACCCCATCCCTAGAAGGTCCGGGACCTGGTCGGCTCACGAGTCCTGTATAAACCTATTGGACCTATTCACAAACCCCAGGATTGTGGACCATTTTATCCTGGGGAGTGTTTTGGTTATGTCCTCTCCTTCGAAAGTATTAAATCTTTCCCTAGCATACCTATCGCATTCTGCGAGGTAGTGTCGGGCCGTTTCTTCTTTTGTTTCGCAGAAGCGGCAGAAGGGGTCTGGTAGAGTACCCATTATGAAGAGGTGTCTTCTCAAGGGGCAATGGCCCGTTAGGATACCTATCAGCCTCCTTATTCCCCTCCTAGAGTTAGAGAATAGCCATTTCGATTCTTTAGGTTTGATTTCCTTCAGAAACTCCTTCGATTGTCTGCATCCTGGGGACATATTCCATTCCTTAAGGAATTGTTTCATGCCCCAGCTACCTATACTCTCTTTTGCTGTGCTTAAAGAGTGGGGTAATACCGGTTGTGGTCCGACGAACTCAGTATTTGAACCTTCCTTGGCCAGGCTGTCCGCCTCCTCATTGCCATAGTGCCCCTTATGAGCAGGTATCCATACGAGGGTTACCCTATTCTCATACCTGGTGATAGTCCTATTAATGAGTTCAACGGTTTCCTCTACCAGTCTAGATGTTGATAGTTCTTTTTGTAATGATTTTAGACTGGCCTGACTGTCGGAAAAAATTTTAATATCTTTTCCCTTAATCTTGTTATCCATCAGTGTTCTACAGCAGACATTAATGGCCCAGACCTCTGCCTGAAAGACCGAGGTGTTATTACCAAGAGGATAGGAGATGCTGATCCCTAATTTAGGTATGTGTATTCCAGCACCACTTCCCTTATCCTTAATGAGTGAGCCATCGGTGTAGCAATCTAGACTACGATGGTCATCATCAGACCCTTTTTATCGCTTACACCCAGTAGTTGGTTGTTGACCTTACTCAATAAATGTAAAATTTTCGAGTGTCCTATATTATTTCCCTTATGGTTCCAGCTGCCTTCACTAATTAATCTATAGCAGCTGGTTAGTGCTTTAACCTTGACCTCAATGTGTAGAGGTGTGGTGTTTGTTATCACTTCCAAAGCTAGGGTTGGTGTAGTGGGAAAAGCTCCCGTCATCATTAATAATATTCTGTTAACTCTGTTTCTCTTGTTGTTCTTCTCTATTGTTCTTTCTCCAAAACAATTTATTCTTTCCGATGTTATGCTTTCTATTAAAAGACTACTTAGCAGCAATAGTTTTGTCCGCCGATTTCCGCCTCTGACCAATTCTACGCGCCTGTTAAAAAGCTGGGGGAAGGTATAAAAATTAGTGAAGTGAGAAAGATACTGTACTCTTCTTTTTTTGAAAGACTACCTTATTAGCTTTATGGACTTAGTAACTAATCCACACATTGTTCTCTACAAACTAATCCATACTTGAAACTTTAATATTCAGACCAACAGGTGATACTATTCAATAGTGCCATCGTTTTGTGTGATTTCGTGAAGAAGGAGCGCTGCTTTTGTCATAAGGAACACAACTTCATGAATACAAAGCACGCTTCTTACAACTTTCACAAACTTACAAATGGGACCTGACTCAACAGAAACCGCACAGACACAACACCGAAGATGACGAAATGCCGAACGCGTCTGAACGACCAGTGACCAAAACCAGGTTCATCACCGCAGTTTTTAAATCGCAGATGTTCATATTTGCGTATAATCCATGGAGGTTTTCCATACCCAATCCATAAACCCAAAAACCACACCACCTTCCGAAATGCTCTTACAGAGCAAATACTCCACGACCAACAATTGGATTTAGGATTATTAAAGCCATCACTTCCTCGTTGAGAAGAATGAATTCGGCTCGCGGGTCTTCCTCGATATCGGCCTTTCGATGTTGGCACCTGGATTTGATCTAGAACACTTCCTCGTTCCTTCGTCAAGTCCTACCTTCAGATACTTTAGAATCGAATGCTTTTCTTTGTACAAGTCAGACGCAGGTGTCCCTCAGGGTGACGTCCTCGGTTAGTTACTGCACTTCGTACATATCGATATCACCTGTTTGCTTTCCAAACAACTTAATTAAGAATGGTGATATAATATGAAAATGCTCGGTCATCTCTAGTTATTTTTATCATGTCGGGTTTTGCCATCGACAGTGGTGGGGTTGTAATCTTACCTCAAACCTTATATCCCTGATCACTGACAAACGAAACCTGACTGACCAAAACATCGAGGATAGCCAGACCGAAATTGATCGGAAATGACAGGTTGGTCCACCAACCTACAGACCTCATAAAGAAATTTTATCATTTATTTTGAATATGATGAAACTTTCTTCTTGGGTACATGTGTTTAATATCCATGAAACTTTAAGCAAATAAAATATAACTTGATCGGTTTCTTGACAAAATAGTTCAGAATGACTATAGCCGCTATTGATTCAATAGAATCTAATTTTATTTTTGTCGCTCCGAACAGAAATCTTAGGTTTATATAGTACAACTATTTTTTTAACTCTACAAAACTATTTTTTTTAAACAAAATGAAGACAGAAAGCAAGAATTTAAAGGTATTAAGCCAAATAGAGACTGTTTTACTTACGAGGGAGATTGGTGTTTTGGTGCTGAAGAGGTGGCTGCCTGCAGATGCAGACAGAGATTCCGACAACGATAGCACAGACGATAAGAACGCCGCTTACAATCGCTACTACAAACAGCGTCATACTCATTCCGAAAATTGTTCCCATATCGTCCCCTGGAAAAAACAAAAACCACACACTTAGCTATGTTTGGACGAAAAAAGAAATCATTTTATTCGTTTCTACTCACTGGAGCATTTTGGGAAGCTTGTTTCGTCCGACTCGTCCCCGCAGTGGTTTATACCGTCGCAGACGAGATCAGTCGCTATGCAGAACTCTCGCATTGTGCACCTAAACTCTTTGCAGTCGTGTTCTAAAAAAAAGTGATTAGCCAAATTTTAACTTAAATGTGGATACCATTTGGGAAATTATCTCTCTCTCTCTCACCCCAACACACACACACACACACACACACACACACACACACACACACACACACACGCGCGCGCGCACAAAACTCCGAATGAAGAATCAGGTGAGCTGTTCTTTCGTTGTTCTTTTCAAGAGAAAATTATTGCAGGACAGTACCAACTTGTAGATAAATGTAATAACAACCAGGCAGAACAGCTGAAAACTATAACATTATGCAACATAATGTGAAAGTCTCTCAGTTCATTTTTCTTCATTCAGTCTTGCCCCCAGTTTTTGCACTAGTCTTCGATAAACCCAAGGTATTCTTGGATGTTGTAGTTAGCTTGGATAGGATTTGAGTTAGAGGACAAAATTGCGGTATCGTGCGCGTGGATAGTAATGATGTGGGTGTGCAGGTAGGTCACCAGTATAGTTGACAAGGATAGGACAAAGAATGCTCCCCTGTGGCTTGTATCGGTCGTAGTGATGAGACTTAAAGTACTCAAATTTTTTTGTAAATTTTCATATGTATATGCATTATTTTGTAGACAAAATGCATGTTTAACAACGCACACACACGCACACACACACACACACACACACACACACACACACACACACACACACACACACACACACACACACACACACACACACGAGATAGATAGTTAGATANCACACGCACACGCACACACACACACACACACACACACACACACACACACACACACACACACACACACACACACACACACACACACACACACACACGAGATAGATAGTTAGATAGAGAGTGCGAGAGAGATAGGTAGATAGATACTTAGATAGATAGAGATAGATAGATAGATAGAGAGAGAGAGACCGGTGTCAGGGTTCAGATCATAAGAACAGAAAAATTATTCTGAATTTTGTATGCTTTAAAAAAGTGTTTGCTTAAAAGATTTGAATGTTTAAGATATTTTCAACGTTAAAGGTTGTGCAAATGTTGTCCTAAGCTTAACGAAAGCTAATATTAATAAAACAATTATTAAATACGTTTATAAAACAGCCGCCAGTGCCACTATTAAATATAAATTATGTATTATGTATAATGATTTTACTTTACATTTGTAAATACATTTTAAAGGATTATACTCAATGAAGCGTGAGTGTTAAAATTGTAAAGGTGAAATGTACAAAACTTTTCGTGCACTTGTGTTAAAAACCGCGCTAGATTGGCAGACGGGCTAAGCCCATTAAAGTCAATGGAAAACAATTGAGTCATAATGCTTAAAGCGACAAATCGATGGTGCGGACGTTCGATTAACAGCCGACCTCGCTTCTCAGTTTGGCCTACGTGACACCCGGGGCTTAAAACTTTCAAAATCAAATGGAATTAGAAGACTCACTTCTACCCTGCTAATTATAAAACGTTAGGAGGTTTTTAGTTATTTGTATCCTTTCTGCCTGTTATTAACTCTTTCTCTCTTTGACGGTCCTCTTCCTCCCTGCATAATAGAAAGGCATGAAAGTTGCCCCTACGGTGTTTAAACACCCCTTTGTGAGCAAAAATTAGCATCCCTTTTTGGAAAATCAAAGTGCGGCTGGTGTTTTTTCGTTTAATATTCTATTCGAGAAGTATCATTAACACGCAGCAAACACTCCAAGGTTGTCCATATCAATATTGTTATTCAACGATTAACTTTCGTTTAAATATAAGCCAAGGAGCCTTTAAGTTATCAATGGTTTAACTCAACATCGTCTCAACTTGCAAAAATAGTCTAACTTTTATGTACACTGAACTGACAACAAATTTTTGAAACCCTAAGAGAAATACACATATATATATATATATATATATATATATATATATATATATAATATGTGTGTGTGTGTGTGTGTGTGAAGTTTATGAGAGGCCGACAAATAGGAGGGCATCGCCGACCCTGTGCGTGTTTGTACTTCTTCTCCTGGTCTTTCACGCAATGAACAAAACCAGTTTTACAGTTTTTAACAAATAGTTTTTGTCATTTAGTCCTTATTGATCAGATTTCTGAGGCGTTTCGGCTTTTCACGACCTTAAGTAGTGTTCGTTGGTGCCTCACTCGGTTTATACTCTTGACCAACCACCGAAGATACATCATATGCCCAAGAGTGTCAATTTACGTACGAGTAGTAATGCTGTTTAGTGACCCTTCAATACTACAGTTATGAAAGAAAGTCGGTCAAGGTTATAAACTGGTTGAGGCAAGACAACCAACATACCTCTGAATTTGACAAGAAGTAGATTGGTGGTTTTCGATCATTTTCGACCAGCCTTCGTTTATTCGGCCTGTCCTTTTTTGCCATAATTAGAGGTGGGTTGTTATCTTCGCTCACATTGCATATCTCTCTGATCAGCCACTGATGATGGCGAAAAGCAAAGTTACGTCAGACCAAAATTTCGAAGCTGGCTGAAAAATAGATCGTAGACGGCCGGGCTCATCATCCGCAGACCTCAACAAGAGATCTTACAATAACCTTTAGTGACCCTTCAATAGTACAGCTACAAATTTTGCCAGGGATAGGGTGAGGCCAGACAACAAACCCTCCATGAATTTGAAAGTGATTAGCTTAGTCGTTTTCAACTATCATTTTTCACCGCTGATCCAATCTGTCATTTTTGCTATAGCCAGTATTGTGTGTGCTATCTTCGCTAGCACGGCAGATATCCATGATCAACCATAGATGATGGCGAAATACCGAGACGCAGCAGATTAGAGCTAATGACCTATCTCTAGGTTCATTACCATTTAGACCGTAACAAAAATTCGTGTAATAAGAGACCCTCAGTATTGTGGCTATAAAAGTGGTTTATTTGGCTAGGGATATAAGCAGGGTAATACATGATAACAGAATACTAATGAATACAGCAAAACCTGAATACGACAGACCTAACCAACTAGGAGAGGGAAGTCAGGACGATCGGATATAGCCAATCTACAGGTTCATCAGACCACAACGAGAAATTATGCAATAGCCTTAATGATCCTTAATAATACAGCTATAAGAGTAATTTGGTAAGTCAAGGTTAAAGGCAGGTGTGGCTAGATAACATACCCACCTATAATAACTAACTATTTAGGATCGACCTACAAGTTTTATAAGGTTTTTGGAAAGGATCGGAAGTAGGTGGAGACATGGTAACTAGGTATGCACATGGTAACTAAGAAACTCGACACCATCGTCCCAGACACACGGAAATCTTTCCGGCAAACAGTTTTAGCTAAAAAAAAGTTCATTAATGGGCTAATTAAAGTTAAAACTAAGGTTGATAAATGTGCCCTTTACTTTCACTACTCCATCCCATTTCATTTCAGCCGAGACAATATTGTTCATTACCAGTGATTTTAGTAAGCGAGTAATTTAACTTAATCGTTATTGCACTTAATTAACAGTGTTGCTCAATTACCAAAGGTTCTCTTGGAACATAGCAGGACAATTATCATTGAGATCTCTCAATACGAGTCATTAACGCTTATTCTATCGGGTTGTCCGGAAAATAATGCAGGATTTTAAGTTTTCATTAAAAAAAATCTATATAAAATATTCTGTTTACGTTTACAGGATTACTCATTGTATGAATGTCAACACTTATTAATCCTCTTCCAAATGATATTGTTTGTTTACCTCTGTAGCATTCCGCTACTTGGAAATAATTCAGTCATCCTTATAATGTCAAAGCGAGAATTTCGTACGATTTTCTTTTACGAGTTTAAACTCGGCCGAAGCGGAGCCCAAACGGCTAGAAACATTAACCAAGTCTGGGGCGAGGGTTGTGTTAATGAGTGCACTGTGCAAAGGTGGTTTAAAAAATTTCGGGAGGGAGATTTCAGCCTTGAAGATGAAGAAGGTCGTGGAAGGCCTTCCTCTCTTAATGATGATGTTCTGCGATCAGTGGTGGAAGAAAACCCCAAAACAACTGTTCGAGAACTTGCAGAGCAACTCAAAGTCAGTAAAACGACCGTCGCTGACCACCTCAAGGCGATTGGAAAAGTGAAAAAACTCGAAAATTGGGTTCCACACTCATTAAACGATCGCCAAAAAAATCAGCGCTTTGATGTTTGTGCATCACTTCTTTGTCGAAACAAAAATGACCCATTTCTGGCCAGAATTGTTACATGTGACGAAAAGTGGATTCTCTACGATAACACTAGACGTTCTGGACAGTGGCTCGACAAAGGAGAAGCTCCAATACATTTTCCAAAGCCCCCAACTCATCAAAAAAAGGTAATGGTTACGGTATGGTGGGCTTCATTTGGTTTAATACACTACAGCTTCTTAAATCCTGGCGAAACCATCAATGCTGAATCATACTGTAACCAAATTAATACCATGCATCAGAAATTGGCAGTAATGAAGCCCTCTTTGGTCAATCGGAAAGGGCCCATTTTGTTGCATGACAACGCTCGACCACATGTGTCACGTGTAACGTCACAAAAATTATTGGAGCTTGGCTATGAAACTTTGCCTCACCCACCCTACTCTCCGGACCTCTCGCCTACTGACTACCATTTTTTTAGACACCTGGACCACTACTTACAACACATAATATTCAAAAATCAAACGGAACTGGAAAATGCATTTATTGACTTTATCAATTCTAAAAATTCTGAATTCTACTCAGACGGAATTAATAAGTTACCAACACGTTGGGAGAAATGTATTGAGAGTATGGGAAATTATTTTGATTAAAGAACATTGCTTTAAAGTAACTAGTTTCTTTTTTTTTGTTTAATACCAAAATCCTGCATTATTTTCCGGACAACCCAATAGTTGGGCACCACCAATTAATCAAATCAAGGATCTTATAATTATAATAATAAATTTCACTTTCTTAATTAGATATAATTATAAATTATATATTATTAAATTTTATAAATTTACGAATTTATTTTTTACACAAAATTACATACTACAATTACATAACTATATAAAATCAGA